GTGGCCTTAAGCCTGAGGAAGTCCCAAGAAGCGGACGAAACGTCGCGGCCAGCGCCACCTATAGACATGCAGAAGAAAAACACTGGTTAACCGACAAGGGAGGGAATTACAAGAGCCAAACCATTATACTTCATATAACAAAGGCGAACCTGTCTAACATGATCTAAATAGTAGATTATACAAACCCATACCTGGAAGATGGCGACGGAGGACTGGACGTCCCTGATGATGGCCCGTGCACTGTTGGGATCCACTTCGGTGGGTCCCAGCTCCTAGTTCTCACCTAACTTAGCCAGCGCCTCCTTGGACATATGTCTGGTCCTCCCACCCATGTTAAGCTATGCTAAGCTAACCCTAAGTCCCTGCTCTACCCCAATTTAACATCAGTCCCAATTTGTCACTCTGATTCCCATTAATTGGCCTATCCCCTAGCCCATTTTGTGGCCCTAAACCTAAGGTCCTACAACCCTAATTAAGTCCCAACCCCAAAATCCCAGCCTCAAAACCCTAGCCTTACCTTATTCCGTGTTGAGGGAGCTCCACGAAGTCCATGAAATCCTAAGGGAAAAGGAAAAAGTCCAGAATTAAAGTACACATAGCCACATTTAAGCACGATTAGACGGCATAAAAGTACTGGAAATATTGAATCACAAAATGTGAACACATACAGGTTAAAGGAAAAGAATGAGAGTTGGGTGATGGGAAAGGAAAGAATAAAGGAAAGAGGACATACGGTTACACGATAACAATTATAAATAAATGGGAATACGGAATTTGGACAAAAGTAACAGGACACGAATGTTCGGAGAGCAGGAGGAGCCTATAAAAGGCAGGAACAGACAGGAACAAAAATCAGTTTGGCACGAACCTCTGAGGGAGCAACCTCTCCTCACTGTAACCCATATAGGGGATATACTTACCTGCATGCTGTGGCCTTAAGCCTGAGGAAGTCCCAAGAAGCGGACGAAACGTCGCGGCCAGCGCCACCTATAGACATGCAGAAGAAAAACACTGGTTAACCGACAAGGGAGGGAATTACAAGAGCCAAACCATTATACTTCATATAACAAAGGCGAACCTGTCTAACATGATCTAAATAGTAGATTATACAAACCCATACCTGGAAGATGGCGACGGAGGACTGGACGTCCCTGATGATGGCCCGTGCACTGTTGGGATCCACTTCGGTGGGTCCCAGCTCCTAGTTCTCACCTAACTTAGCCAGCGCCTCCTTGGACATATGTCTGGTCCTCCCACCCATGTTAAGCTATGCTAAGCTAACCCTAAGTCCCTGCTCTACCCCAATTTAACATCAGTCCCAATTTGTCACTCTGATTCCCATTAATTGGCCTATCCCCTAGCCCATTTTGTGGCCCTAAACCTAAGGTCCTACAACCCTAATTAAGTCCCAACCCCAAAATCCCAGCCTCAAAACCCTAGCCTTACCTTATTCCGTGTTGAGGGAGCTCCACGAAGTCCATGAAATCCTAAGGGAAAAGGAAAAAAGTCCAGAATTAAAGTACACATAGCCACATTTAAGCACGATTAGACGGCATAAAAGTACTGGAAATATTGAATCACAAAATGTGAACACATACAGGTTAAAGGAAAAGAATGAGAGTTGGGTGATGGGAAAGGAAAGAATAAAGGAAAGAGGACATACGGTTACACGATAACAATTATAAATAAATGGGAATACGGAATTTGGACAAAAGTAACAGGACACGAATGTTCGGAGAGCAGGAGGAGCCTATAAAAAGGCAGGAACAGACAGGAACAAAAATCAGTTTGGCACGAACCTCTGAGGGAGCAACCTCTCCTCACTGTAACCCATATAGGGGATATACTTACCTGCATGCTGTGGCCTTAAGCCTGAGGAAGTCCCAAGAAGCGGACGAAACGTCGCGGCCAGCGCCACCTATAGACATGCAGAAGAAAAACACTGGTTAACCGACAAGGGAGGGAATTACAAGAGCCAAACCATTATACTTCATATAACAAAGGCGAACCTGTCTAACATGATCTAAATAGTAGATTATACAAACCCATACCTGGAAGATGGCGACGGAGGACTGGACGTCCCTGATGATGGCCCGTGCACTGTTGGGATCCACTTCGGTGGGTCCCAGCTCCTAGTTCTCACCTAACCCTAACCCTGATGACAGACATGTCTATCACTCCAAATAACACCTTTCCCAGTAGCCTTACCCTGAACCTAACCACTCCCACACCTGCCTACACACAACCAACCACCTCAGACACTCCAAAACAGTCAACATACAAACCTGTCCCAATCCACTCCAAATGGCCCCAAACGTGCTCCTAAACACTTTCTGAAAAATCCCATACTAGGGCTGACACTTTGAAATTTTCCAACAACCAGTCGCCCCATTGGCAATGAATGGACACACTCAAACGGGAATAACTCCGGAACCGAACGTCGCAGACACTTGGAAACGCGCTCCGTCTGCCATAATCCGACCCTTCTGAACACGCAGGACTTGTCCCCGAGTCTCTACGACCTACGGTTGCCGAGATACAAGGATTTTCACCTCTATTTCCGGAATTACGCCCACTTCCGGTTATCACCGGAAGTCGAGACTGACACCCAAAGAAGCGGAAGGAAAAAATGAACAGATTGAACCTGCTTTGAACTCTCTACAACCTTCCTGTGAGGAGAAACATGCTCATTAGACCAATGTCTAATGTTGCACTCATCCCTATTCCCTATCGGGTAACCCTAACCCTAGCTTCCAAATGGCTGGCTGGCAGGCACGCTGATGACAGACATGTCTATCACTCCAAATAACACCTTTCCCAGTAGCCTTACCCTGAACCTAACCACTCCCACACCTGCCTACACACAACCAACCACCTCAGACACTCCAAAACAGTCAACATACAAACCTGTCCCAATCCACTCCAAATGGCCCCAAACGTGCTCCTAAACACTTTCTGAAAAATCCCATACTAGGGCTGACACTTTGAAATTTTCCAACAACCAGTCGCCCCATTGGCAATGAATGGACACACTCAAACGGGAATAACTCCGGAACCGAACGTCGCAGACACTTGGAAACGCGCTCCGTCTGCCATAATCCGACCCTTCTGAACACGCAGGACTTGTCCCCGAGTCTCTACGACCTACGGTTGCCGAGATACAAGGATTTTCACCTCTATTTCCGGAATTACGCCCACTTCCGGTTATCACCGGAAGTCGAGACTGACACCCAAAGAAGCGGAAGGAAAAAATGAACAGATTGAACCTGCTTTGAACTCTCTACAACCTTCCTGTGAGGAGAAACATGCTCATTAGACCAATGTCTAATGTTGCACTCATCCCTATTCCTCTAACCCTTAACCCTAACCCTAACCCTAACCCCTAACCCTGAACCCTAACCCTAACCCTAACCACCCACTTTAAAGCCTAAACTTAAGTCCCTCAGTTAAAACCACCACCATTTAAACTCCTTAAACCCCATAATACTTATTATAACCTTACCAGGTGGATCTTTTCTAAACCTAACATCACCCACTTTAAATACCTAAACTTAAAATCTTAAATTAAAATCACTATCATTAAATTTCCTTAATTTTACAAATTGGGTTTGATCTGCCAGGACCACTGGACACTTTAAACAGCTTCCTTACCCACTCCCTCCCCCTCCCCCTACCCCACCCCCTCCTCCTCTCATCTTCCTTCTTCTTTCCTCATCTAATATGGCCCATGACAGCAGGTGGGCGATGGTCTGGGGACTGACATGCGTCGGCCAGTGCACTTCCTCTGTCTCCCAAAAAAACTATGTTGTCGTTGGTCAACATAGGGAGAGACTCTGAGTAGTTATCTACTAAAACCTAACCAATTGGACCCAAACTAAGCCCCCTTTGAGGCCCTAACCCCAAATCCCAGGCCTGATTCAAATCTAGTCCCTACCCTGACTCCAAAATACTGGCCTTAATTTATCTTTAAACCTCAGTGAAGGACATTCTAAGCCCATATAATGGATGAAGCCACTAACTAAAGTAGGCATTTAAATACCATGGATGAAGTGTAGCCATTAAAGGGAGGCACACATACCCAGTGAACAAAGTGTTAATCATAGTTATGAACACTATATAAGTTAAAGGCAAAAGAATTGGAGCCAGAAATAAAGGATTTTTATTGAAAAAGACATGGAAAAAACGGTTAGAGAAAATCACCACATGGAGGAGGAACACGGATTTTCAGAAAGGGAGGGGCTCAGAGCATAAAAGGGAGCAGCGGACATTTTGAATTCAGTTTGGCACGGCCCTCTGAGGGAGCCACATGTCCCCAGAGGGGCTCATTGTTAGGGGATACTTACCTCAACTAAATACTTACCTCCACTAAAGGGAATACTTACCTCACCATAAGGGAATACTTACCTCTACCTGGGAAAAAAAGAAAAAAAGAATACCTGTATGTCATGGCCGCCTGAAGAAGTCCCAAGAAGCGGAAGAAACGTCGCGACCGCCATCTGACATACAAGAAAGAGAACACGTGTGACACAAATAAAAAAACATTGAGGGAACTTAAAGGAGCCAAAACTGAAAACCTAGAAACATAACTATTATACTTCATATAACAAAGGCGAACCTGTCTAAATGTAACTCATATAAAGAGTACATATAACCTCATAAGAGAAGATGGAGACGGAGTGCAGGCCATCCGCAGGGTGGCGAGTGCAATTTTGGGGCCTCCACCTTGGTGGAATCCCCAAACCCAACCCCAACCCTAACCCCTAACCCTAACGTAACTTTTCAAAGCAAAGTCACAGCAACTTGGGAGTGGTACCAATGAAAATGGCATAGTCGATAATGTGGGGGTAAACACAGGTTTCATCTCTCTACGATCTTCCATTTGGGAGTTATTTCTTAGGAGTTATAGGGCCCTTCCCAAGCTGGTTTTCATACCGTAACCCTATCCTAATTATATCTTAGTTATTCTAAGTCATCTGATAAACACAAACATAAACAGCAAACACTGATAATAAATAACTTTAATGAGTATTTATATACTGTAAATATATCCAGAATACATGTAGTAAACATAATTGTACACAATAACAGGATATACTTTATTTTCCACACTTGGACTGATATTTCAAGTATGCAGATCTGTTATAGCATCAGATACGTCGCAGTGCTTTCTTGGCAGATGGAAGAATATTGAAAGAATAAACAGCATATAAGTTATCTGGAAGAATCCCATCATGCAGTGCAGTATATTACAGATAGCTTTGGTGTCGACCAAAACAAAGCATTAGTTCATTTACAGGAGCAGAGAAAACAGCATCTGGATCGACACAGACTACAAACAAAGACATCATTACATTACATTCAAACGGTGGTGCCTTAAACATAAGTGCAAGTGGACGGCTTTCTTCATACACATTGATCTTAGCAGCCTGCTCCTGGACCAGGTTTACTGAGTGATCTGGATCGTTTTACATCAGTTCATGTACTGGAAAAAAAAATCCAGATGGATCTGTAATATCTAAAAAGACATCTGATCTAAATGCTGTTTTCTGTGCACTTGAACAACAGCTGAGGAACAACACGACACTCAAATTAAAATCTATCTGTAATAATCAATAACTCGGTACACATTATTAATGTAAACCACATTAACAGTTGGTGGTTACATTCAACAGTCATTCATCAACTCATTGCTATCCTGGACTACACCCTGTTACATTACTTCCTTCACAAAAACACTGAACAGCCACAATCCAGTTCTTCTCTTTTGTTGACTCCTTCACTTTTTACTGATTTTTCACTTTCAGTATCAGTGAATGTAATTAAAATTAAAAACAAGTTAAACTTTCTCTACCATTAACCTAATTTATTTAAAAACAAACACACAATTGTGAAATGTTCTTGTTTCTGTACAATATTTAACACTAAAAATTATTTTGTATTGCAGATTTGTTTGAGTTTGACATTAAAGATTTCTGATGATCAGCAAAAAGTGAATCCACTGATGATTAATAAAACATAAAGGAGGTGTATCCTTTTTATGGCCACTGTATTTTTATATCTTCTCACATACAAATGTGTACATATATGACATTCTTACAAAAGATTAAACACTCAGATTCCTCTGAGTTAAACACATCGTTATTAACACTGATCAATCATTATTGTCTTCTGATCAATATTTCTCGATTTTTACATTTCTTCAAAGCTAAAAAATAAAAATTCACTTCAACAACATCAGTTTCTTTAAAAATATTAATGCTCCTAAACCTGAAAAAAATATATACTAAAAAAAACTTTTTCAAAGAGACAAATTTTATCAGAAGGGGCGAGAATCTCAAAACAAAGTCCAAAGCTCCACCCTAAACATAGACCACGCCCACTGTAAGACCCAATCAAAACCCCCTCCGTCATACAAACCCCACCCCAGGTAATTCTCGCCCCAGGGCTCAATCAAGCCCCACCCACAGACACCTGAAGTCTGAGCAGGTGAGGGTTCATCCTTCTTCACAAGGCTTTCAATCAGTGGCTGACAGTTGACAGATTGTCAGCTGATAGTTGATACACTGTCAGATAACTGTTAGCAGTGGGCTAACTGTCGGCTAAACGTTGGATTGTTTCAGGGCTCTGAGAAAGAAACGTGTGTTGCCTTTGACTTAAAATGTCAACGTGAACAGAAAAGTTTTGTTTGTGATGCTCTGAGTGAGGCTCTGGTGACATCGCTTCCTCCTCTCCTGATTCCCAACTCATTGACCTCCAATATAAATAAAAGCAATAAATGAATTGCTAATTCCTGTTCAAATAAAATTCTCTGTGATGGACCGCACGTAGAAAGAAAACAGCTCACAGCTGTTTACTGCAAATTTACAGTATAATATATGTATACAGTATATATCAACAATATTACTGTATTCTTTACAGTATAAGTATATATAAACAGTATTACAGTCTGACTGTAGACACACACATGCAGAACAGCAGAAACCTGTCTCACAATTAAGAATAAACTGATTTCTGTTGGAACAAACATGGCTTCTCCTGCAGGCTGTTCTAATAAATAACACTGTACTTTCAATGTAATACTGTACACAACAGATTATAAAGACCTTTCAACTCTGAAGAGCTGCAAGTTAAAAATAGGTGTATCAGCTCTGTCCTGTTCAGTCACAGTTTCTATTCAGAAAACGATGAACTCTGTCTGATGGTTCTGTGTTCTGCTTTCAAATTGAAACGTTTGAATTCAAGTGTTTTCAGTCCAAATTGAAGAGTTAATTTCATAATTTTAACAAATCTTCTGTTTCAACAAACATCAGCCTGACATAATCACCGATGACAACAAAGCTGTATCACAGAATTGCAGGTATTCCAGGTTTTCCCAGATACTGTTCAGTATTTTAAAAATGTGTTTATGTGAAAATGGAAGACAGAATTCAACTAGCTTCAAATCATTCATCCGTTCAGAAGCTGAATCTGTTGCTGTTAGTAACAACATGCTGTTAACTGATTGGTCAGATGGCTGCTGTGATTCATTATTGCGTCTGTCTGTCTGTCTGTCTGTCTGTCCATCCGTCCATTCATCTGTGTAAACATGAGGCTGCCATCTTCTTCCCTTGATAAACATTCATTTCAGGCTTTCTTCTTTTTACTTTGTGTTCCTCAGCAGCATCTTTACTTTACTTTCCTCTCAGATTCCCTTTGTTTGTGCTGCAGCAAACTCCACCTCCCCAGTGATGTCAGAAGAGCAGACTCCGCCTCCTGGCTGGACTGTTTGCTAGACAGAAAAAACAATTTAAACTATAAGTTGACAAACAGCTTTGTTTTCAGATTCAACTCTTCAGCTTTCAGTCATATCACATGGTCTTCCTCCACTCGTGAGTTTGTCCAGTTGTCCTGGAGCTGAACTATAAAAGCTCAACAGCAGCTACTAAATAGACCTCTGCTTCTTTGTCATTGCTTAACTTCCACCCAATATTTAAATAATAATAAATAAATAAAAATAATAAATATTGCATATGATATGATGATATGAGGAGTTCTTGTGCTTTCTCGTCTCGCAGGTTCTTGTCGATCCTGGTGGAGCCTCCTGCCATGGTCCTGCTTGATTGCCATTGCTAATACTGTTGTTGCTGTGCACCTGTCTGTCTCTCGCTCTCTCTCTCTCTCTCTCTCACCCCAACTGGTCGAGACAGACGACCACCCACCTAGAGCCGGAGGATCTGTCCTAGGTTTCTGCCTTTTAACAGGCAGTTTTTCCTTGCCCTTGTCGCCAAGTGCTTGCTCATGGTGGTACTGTTGGGTCTCTGTAATTAATGTTAAAGAGTTCGGTCTAGACCTGCTCTATTTGAAAAGTGTCCTGAGATAACTTCTGTTATGAATTGGCGCTATACAAATAAAATTGAATTGAATTGAATTGAATTTGTCAAAACCTTGTCAGCTGCTAGATGTTGTGTCCCATCACCCAGGTGAGTCGGGTGAGAGCGGGGGGGAGGTTGTTACCTGGATCAGGGGTGACTGTCGGTCTGATTGTTTCTTTCTCCAGTTGTATCTCTGGCACACTGAAGATAGATGTCGCTGAAACAACCATCACAGTGACTTTGTGACATCATGGCACACAATGACATCACAGATTGAAAACAGGGGTCAAAGGTCATGTTAAAACTTACTGTCAGGAAGTGTCATCACTCTGTTTCCAAGATTACTGAAGTAACGATGGTTCATGGAGTCATCTGCTGAGATCCTCTTCTTCCCTTCAAACTGAAGTTTGAAATCATAATTAATAAACAATATCATGATAATGATGTCACATCCTGTCCTAATCCTGATCTCAGTTTAACAACATTAAAATGGTTGAATATAAAGAGTTTGTTAATGACATGAAAAAGTCAGCAGGGTTACAGTTCATGTTGTCACCTTCTGTAAAGACTTATTGAACTTTATTATTAGTTATTATAAAGAGCTACTGTAGTTTAATATTGAACAACTTCACATTTCTAGTTTTCATATTCTGAACAAACACAGTGAGTATTTACTGACCTGCAGGAACTTTGACAACAGCTCCACTCCGTCGCTGCTGAGCCTGAACAATGCACGCACGCACGCGCGCGCACACACACACACACACACACACACACACACACACACACACACATTAAACAGTTTTATTGTTTGTTTGTTTCTGTGGTTTTTAACTCACAGTTTCAGAACTTTTACTAACAGGTCAAACAGTGGGTGGGGGATAACATTTGGTAAAATTAGGGGGTTAGGGAATAGGGTTTGGGTTTACAGTTAGATGTGGACATACTGCTCCCTCTTTACAATCATAAGTAGCTCCATAAGACTGTCTTAAAAAATCAACGACATCACTCAACCTGTAACCAGGCCTGCTTTGACTGTTTTTGATGCTGCAGCCACAGACCTGAATGAACTCACTGACACTGACATTTGTGTGAGGACATGTGTGTGCCGACCTTCTGCACATGCAACACCCACAAACCCTGGTTTACAGAAAAACTCAGGCGGCCTCGTCAGACCAAGGAGGCCTACAGAAGTGGGGACATAATCCTAAACAAGCAGGTCAGAAGCATGCTGATAAAGGAGGTCAAAGCAGCAGAGAGGAGCTACTCAACAACCCTGCGTCAGTGTGGAGGCCTGCAGAACATCACCAGCTACAGGAGACCGTCGCCCCACACTGTGGAGAACCAGCAACTGGCTGACGAGCTGAATGTGTTTTACTGTAGATTTGATAAGCCCACATTCACACCCCTCCCCTGCTCCAACATCAAACAGCTACCTACATCCTGACTGACAGGAGGCAGCTTGTGAGGCTGGGGAACATCACATTAGCACTGGCGCCCCCCAGGGGTGTGTGCTCTCCCCACTGCTCTTCTCCCTCTACACCAATGACTGCACCTCGAGAGACCAGTCAGTCAAACTCATGAACTTCGCAGACGACACAACAGTCATCGACCGTTTAACAGCTGGCCTTCTGTTGTGGTCAGAACAACCTGGAGCTTAACATCCTCAGAACTGTGGAAATGACCCCCCCCCAACTCTGTCCCACATCACTATACTCAACTGCCCTGTTTCTGCTGTGGAAACCTTCACAATCTCCCAGGTAAATGGTAAATGGTAAATGGACCTGTACTTGTATAGTGCCTTTCTAGTCTTCCGACCACTCAAAGTGCTTTTACATTACATGCCACATTCACCCTTTTACACACATTCACTCAGTGATGGCAAATTTGGGGTTCAGTAATTTGCTCAAGGATACTTTGACATGTGGGAGCTGGGGATCAAACCAACAACCTTCCAATTAGTGGACGACCTGCTCTTCCTCTGAGCCACAGCCACCCCTTAAGTGGGAGTACAACACAGACCCCATCATCAAGAGGGCCCACCAGAGGATGTACTTCCTGTTCCAGCTCAGGAACCTCAACCTGCCTCAGCAACTGCTGATCCATTGCACTTTTGTCTACTGTCAACAAATGTTATTAGTTTGTCTATTTTGTTGAACTTGTTCCGTTTATTTATGCTGTTAGTCTGTGTTTGAACATTGAGAGTAACATAAAACCAGAGTCAAATTCCTCCAATATATGTGTACATACCTGGCAAGGGGATTCTGATTCTGATTCTAGTTGCTCTCAAAAACAGAAGCAGTATGTCGATTAAAGCTTCCCAGATGTTGTGGTCTGACAGAAAAAAAATCTGTCCCAAATAACTCTCCCAAACCATCAGGGTGGTCGTACACTGATCACAGGGTTGACAGTTCAATTCCCATCTCCTCCTCTCCACATGTCCAAGTGTCCTTAAGCAAGACACTGAACCCCAAATACTCTACTTGGTCAGGACAGCACCCGTCAATGTAGCTCACTGATATCTGTGTATGGTTCAAGTTCAACTGTAACTCAGACCAGTTGTGTATATGTGTGTAGTACAGTTATACTACACACTTGTACTTGGCCTCTTCCGATCACTCAAAGCGCTTTTTTACACTACCTGCCACATTGGCCCTTTCACACACATTCACTCAGTGTCCATCGAACAGAAACTAACCCATTCATACACATTCACACGGTGATGCACAGCACCAGGAGCAATACGGGCTTCAGTATCTTCCTCAAGGATTCTCGACATGTCCCAGGACGAGCTGGGGATCAAACCACAACCTTCCGATTAGTGGACGACCAGCTCTGCCTCTGAGCCACAGCCGCTCATTGTGTATCTGTGTGTAGTACAGCTGTGTACTGGTGTGTAGTAAAGCTGTGTACCTGTGTGTAGTACAGCTGTGTACCTGGGAGTGTGATTACTCAGTCTCTCTGCTCTGTACTGAGGATAGTTGTACGCCACAAACTCATCATTAGAGCTGATCCCAGGCCAGCTTTGCTCTGTAGGAGTACCTGCACACAAAATACACATCTAATGCATTCTGTATGCACAAAATACAGTTTCTTATGAATACATAAATTAATAATAAATAAAAGCTGATTGGTTCTCACCCAGCAGTTTGAAAATGAAGTGAAGCTCCTCCTCCACTGTGGAACCAGGAAACAGAGGTCGACCTGTCGCCATCTCATAGAAGATACAACCAACACCCCTACAGACAGACACACAGACAGAGAGAAAGACAGGTCATTAGAGTATGGACAAGGTGGTCTGATGTTCTGATGACATGTCACAGTCAACATATTGTAGTAGTACTGCTACAGTGTACTGGAATACTACCACAGTACACTAGAATACTACTACAGTATACTGGAATAGTACTAAAGCACACAAGAATACTACTACAGTATACTGGAATACTACTGCAGTATACGGGAATAGTACTACAGTAGACTAGAATACTACTACAGTATACTAGAATGCTACTACAGTATACTGGAATAGTACTACAGTACACTAGAATACTACTACAGTACACTAGAATAGTACTACAGTACACTAGAATACTACTAAAGTACACTAGAATAGTACTACAGTACACTAGAATACTACTACAGTATACTGGAATACTACTACAGTATACTGGAATAGTACTACAGTACACTAGAATACTACTACAGTATACTAGAATGCTACTACAGTATACTGGAATAGTACTACAGTACACTAGAATACTACTACAGTACACTAGAATACTACTACAGTATACTGGAATAGTACTACAGTACACAAGAATACTACTACAGTATACTAGAATACTACTACAGTATACTGGAGTACTATTTCAGTACTGACCACATGTCAATGTGAGTGGAGTAGTCGGTGCTGCCCAGCAGGATGTCCGGTGGTCGATACCACAGTGTCACCACCTCGTTAGAGTACGTCTTTGTCGGAATTGACTTTGCTCGAGCCAAACCTGAAACAGACAACACCAGAGTAATATGATTAGCTTACATTACATTAATTTGGTACTCTAACCCTTTCAACAGCAACAATTAGTCCTCGATGGGAAAAAAGTAGAAAGCTGAAAGTATTGGACAAACCAGTAAACCACATTGATTTTTTGTACAGTGGATATAAAAAGTCTACACACCCCTGTTAAAATACCAGGTTTTTGTGATGTAAAAAAATGAGACAAAGATAAATCATGTCCAAACTTTTTCTACCTTTAATGTGACCTATAATGTGAACAATTCAATTGAAAAACAAACTGAAATCCTTTAGGTGGAAAAATAAAGAAATAAAAAACTTACAATAACCTGGTTGCATAAGTGTGCACACCCTCTTATAACTGGGGATGTGGCAGTGTTCAGAATTGATCAATCACATTCAAACTCATGTTAAATAAATAGTAGTCAGTACACACCTGCCATCATCAAGTGACTCGGGTTTTTATTAATCCCAAATAAAGTTCAGCTGTTCTAGTAGGACTTTCCTGACATTTTCTCAGTTGCATCTCAGACCAAAAGCCATGGTCCGCAGAGACCTTCCAAAGCATCAGAGGGATCTCATTGTTAAAAGGTATCAGTTAGGAGAAGAGTACAAAAGAATTTCCAAGGCATTAGATATACCATGGAACACAGTGAAGACAGTCATCATCAAGTGGAGAGTGAGGGGAAATATGGCACAACAGTGACCTTACCAAGAACTGGACACCTCCCAAAATTGATGAAAAGACGAGAAGAAAACTGGTCAGGGAGGCTTCCAAGAGGCCTAGAGCAACATTAAAGGAGCTGCAGGAATTTCTGGCAAGTACTAGCTGTGTACTACATGTGACAACAATCTCCCGTATTCTTCATACGTTTGGGCTATGGGGTAGGGTGGCAAGACGGAAGTCTTTTGTTTCAAAGAAAAACAACCAAGCCCGGCTAAATTTAGCAAAAAAATACATGAAGTCTCCCACAAGCATGTGGGAAAATGTGTTATGGTGTGATGAAACTAAGGTTGAACTTTTTGGCCATAATTCCAAAAGGTATGTTTGGCGCAAAACAACACTGCACATCATCCAAAGAACACCATACCCACAGTGAAGCATGGTGGTGGCAGCATCAGGCTTTGGGGCTGTTTTTCTTCAGCTGGAACCAGGGCCTTAATCAAGGTGGAAGGAATTATGAACAGTTCCAAATATCAGTCAATTTTGGCACAAAACCTTCAGGCTTCCATTAGAAAGCTGAAGATGAAGAGGAATTTCACCTTTCAGCACAACAACGACCCAAAGCATACATCCAAATCAACAAAAGCATGATTTCACCAGAGAAGATCAACGTTATGGAATGTCCCAGCCAGAGCCCAGACCTGAATCCCATTGAACATCTGTGGGGTGATCTGAAGAGGGCTGTACCCAGGTGATGCCCTCGCAATCTGACTTTCTGACAGAGTGCTTTTGTAAAGAAGAGTGGGCAAATTTGCCAAGTCAAGATGTGCCATGCTAATTGACTCCTACCCAAAAATACTGAGTGCTGTAATAAAATCAAAAGGTGCTTCAACAAAGTGTAAGTTTAAGGGTATGCACACTTATGCAACTAGGTTATTGTAAGTTTTTTATTTTCTATTTTTCCGATTTCAGTTTGTTTTTCAATTGAATTGTTCACATTATTAAAGGTAGAAAAAGTTTGGACATGATTTTGTCTCATTTTTGTCTCATTTTACATCACAAAAACCTGGCATTTTAACAGGGGTGTGTAGACTTTTTTTTATCCACTGTATGTTGTGTGTGTGATGTGACAATGTTTTTGAGCCAATGGTAGAAGATGTGCAGCGACTCTGCTGTCCTGACTTCAGTGGGGTCTTCATTCCACCTCTACTTGCAGAGGTCTGTGGACGAGTTTCAGAAGTGTAGGGACTAGTGTCAAGAGGTCTGGGGACTAGTGTCAGAGGTCTTAACTCTCTCTTTGTTCCTCCGGAACCATGTTTCTGTTTGGTTGGCTTCTCCCTGGTTACTAGTTTGATTTTGCACCTTACAACACCCTCACCCATCACTTCTCCACTCATGCACCTACTGACACACTGATACTACTGACTAACACACCTCATCATTTCAGTATATTTCTCATGTATGTTATTTGAGTTGATTTATGTTTAAAGTAATACATTTGTATCTCTCTCATCTTTAAGTTTAAACCTTAGTAGTTAGTAGTTTATCAAAAAGCTTTCAGTACATTTTACTCTGGCATGTGTTGGACCACAACCCCCCAAAGACCTGAACAGGGAGGATGATTTAACTGTCAGTTGCTTTATGCAGTTTGTGGTAAAGACCATTATACACTCTATGCATATGCATGTGAAAACCAGCATGAAACCCACCAAAGTCTGCCAGTTTGAGCTCCCCTCGCTCATTGATCAGCAGGTTTTGGGGTTTCAGGTCTCGGTGGAGAACTTTCCTCCTATGACAGTATGAAAGACCTCGCAGCAACTGGAAAAGAAAGAGCTGAGCAGAGAAAAACCTGTACAGTCATTGGGAAAACTGAACAAACAGGTTAAATAAATTGGAATTGAAGGCACAGTACCACTGGTACGGTGCGGTTCATTCATCTCACAGATTCAGATCAAAGTAAATCAGAATAAATGCAGTTTGGAGTCCAATTCAAACAAAATTAACAAAAACACTTTTTCAAATAAGGTAATATGGAGGGTTTTCTTTCCCCCTGTCATCTTGCAGGCAGAGCCTCCTGCAATCTGACTCAGGCAAGAAAAATATCTTTTTTTTATGATTCTTTTATTTCTTTTTTTTTTGTAGCAGCAGGTGACAGTAACAGATACATTAAAACTTTCCTCACTTTGACATTGTGAACATGGATGATGTTTCCACAGTCTTCCAGATACTGTTTCAGATCTTTGTCCTGAACCACACAAAAACATAATTAAATGATCAATACACCAAATTATAGAATATGTGTGTGTGTGTGTGTTTGTGTGTGTGTGTGTGTGTATCTCACCAGATACTCAAACACCAATGTGAGGGATTTCTGTGTGTGGATGATGTCATGAAGCGTGACAATGTTGGCGTGTTTCAGATCCTTCAAGAGAGACACTGTAGTAGAAAACACACATTAGTATACATATACATGATACTACTGATACTGTAGTACTATGTCTGTCTTACATGTTCAGTTTGAGTAAACTGACTCAATGCTGCCAGCTGTGTGTTACACTGTCTGTAATGATACTAGCAGCCTATTCAGCACAAACTGTAAGAGCAGTGCTATTTTACAGTATCAGTATTGTGGTAATACTACTGTAGTACAGCATCAGTACTGTGGTAATACTACTGTAGTACAGTATTAGTATTGTGGTACCTTCTCTGATAGCAGTACACGGAGCTCCTTCTTCATGTTCCAGTCGAATTTCCTTCAGAGCCACAAGGTTGTCAGTCAGTTTACTGTGACCTTTATACACTGTAGCATAGGTCCCCTACAGACAGACAGGTAGAGAGGGAGACAGGTGAACGACAGTAAAGGTGTTCTAACTGATCAGCCATCGATTGTTATTGGCTAATATTCATTCTAAATAGTTTGATTGGTGGTCTCTATAAAGGCCAATCTGGGGCGACCGGATAGCTCAGTGAGTAGAGCTGGCGACCCATGTACCAAGGCTGAGTCCTTGCTGCAGCGGCCCAGGGTCCGAATCCGACCTGCGGCCCTTTGCTGCGTGTCATCCCCTCTCTCTGACCCCCTTTCCTGTCTATCTTCAGCTGTCACTATAATAAAGGCAATAAAAGCCCCAAATATATACAAAAAAAAAAGGCCAATCTGGAGAGCTGATAAGATAACAGAAACCACATGAGACAATTTCTCTACGCACTGCTAAAATGGTTTTCACTAATGAATGTGCATGTGAGAAGGAAACAACATGCCTCTCTATCATCAGGTGGCTCATTTATTCAGTTGTGTAAATTATGATGGAAAAAGATAACACGTGAGCCATCTCCCGTCTTTCTTATCTCTGTTGAGAGTTGCAAATGCTCAGAACCGATGGAGTAAAGCAACGGCAGTTCTACTAGATGTCTGAAAGAGACAATAAATTTGTCATTGACCATGTGTATATAGATAGATAGATAGATAGATAGATAGATAGATAGATACTTTATTGATCCCGAGGGAAATTCAAGGAGGAACGCAACAAAAGAAATTCAGCAACAGGAAACCTCATCAGGTATGTTTTATACACCACAGAGTGTACTGGAACAGAACCTTGCCCTGTCCTTGCATGTTCACTGGCAGCCACTGAAAATGTTTTCCCTGCTTGTAACCTTTGGTGAGCTCACGCTACAGATCAGCTCATCAGCTGCATTGACAGTAGATGTTATACCATCCATCAGAGGTTTAACTGAAGAGTCCCAATTCCAACACAGAGGGACCAGCCATTTCTGTATAAATGGGATATCATTTATGTCCTCACCTCCCCGAGTTTGTCCAGTTTCACGTATGTCTCCAGTTTCCCAAAACCAATCTCTGACTGCAGATAGACAGACAAACATGGTTAATGAAGATGGTTAATAATACAACACGAATATGAAGCTAACCCTAACCCTACATTATAGAACACAATAGAAACAGGTTGACTAGAAGCAATTAGACATACCAGAGACACTCTGCGCAGCCGCCTGCTGATTGGCTGCTCAAACAAAGCTGGACCAATAAGATTAAACTTCTCCAGGTAACCATCTGGAAGACGAATGTCGGCTGGTAAGGACAGACGTTTGTTAATGTCCTGAAACACAACAGAGAGACATAGACAGGAAACAGGTTAACAGTTTTAATCTGAAAGTATCTGACTTCATTCTGGACAGTAACAGTGTTTTAATTTCAAGCTATTAAATTCATGTCTATAAGATCAAGATTCAAGATTCAAGATCTGTTTTCCAAGTCTAAAGGGCACAATGGAGAAGATGACTCATCAAATGTGTGAAGTCATGTAAAAGCAGGTGCAGTCTAAATCAAGGAGGCAAACAGAGATAGAGTTCCTCATCAGAGAGAGCCAACTGTCTCCAAAGGAAAAAAAAGAAAACAAATCCCTGAGGACCTATATAGATCTTTACAAAGCAAAAGAATAAAACTCCCGAGATAACAAAGGGCAAGCAGAAAGATGATCTGAGGCAGACTTCCTTAGACAGCTGGAGAGATTAAGAATTCAAAATACCACCAGATATACCATCCATCCATACACCTCCATGTCAGCAGCTCAATGAGTCCTACACTCCTTACAGACATAGACTGTTTCAGCAAATAAATATTCCAATTTCAATTCAATTCAATTTTATTTGTATAGCGCCAACTCATAACAGAAGTTATCTCCGGCCCCTTTCAAATAGAGCAGGTCTAGACCGAACTCCTTATAACATTTACAGAGACCCAACAGTACCACCATGAGCAAGCACTGATGATGATGAGGAACATGAAGAAGATGACAACGATAACAACGATGGGGGACAATGAGCAGTGACAATAGTAATAATAGTAACTGTAGTAATAATAATATTAATAATAATAATAATAACAATAATATCAGTGATATTAGCAATGGCAGTCAAGCAGGACCATGGCAGGAGGCTCCACAAGGATCCATGAGAACCTGCGAGACGAGAAAGCACAAAAACTCCGGGTAAGAAGTAAAGTTAGTAACATGCATTAATGGGACATGAATGAGTGCAGAAAGAGAGAGGAAGGGAGGAGCTCAGTGCACCATGGGAAATCCCCCGATAGTCTAGACCTATAGCAGCATAACTAAGGGATGGTTCAGGACTCACCTGATCATATATATTTGAGTTTACATTAGTTAAAGTTCCTAAACTTGGAGAGCCAATGATGCCTGTTAAGGGCATTTGGTGACTAATTTTCTCTCTAATAGTAATAATTATATTATAAAAGAAGCTCATGAAGTCATTGCTACTTAAGTCTATGTGGATATGTGGCTCAATAGGGCTGTGACTCTCTGTCAGCCTGGCTACAGTGCTGAAGAGGAACCTAGGGTTGTTCTTATTTTCTTCTATTAGTGCTGAATAATTGGCTCCTCTGGCATTACGGAGGGCCTTTCTATAAGTTTTAGGATTATCTTGCCAAATTGAGCGATATTATAATAATTTGGAAGAGCGCCACTTCCTTTCCGATTTCCTTGTTTTTTGCTTCAATTGGCGGGTTCGGTGGTTGTACCACAGTGCTAATCTCCTGTTTTCTTCTCCTTGCTCTCAACGAAGGCGGACGCATCTCTCTCTCCCTCCTGTCTCCCTTATCTTCCTGCTTTGCTTCTCTAGTTTCGTCCTGTCTTGTCTCTAACTTTTAGGAGCCTCTCCCCGTATTGCTCTCCACATTTAAATCATGGAATTAGTCAACTGGTCTCTCAACGCAATTGACAGAATTTTCTTCTCGACGAGAAGCTCGGGTTCGGGGGAACCTGCCTGCCCTGAAGGAACGTTTGCCGCTGGCTACACGATGGACTCCTGGGAGAAGTGGAGGGTCGTGTGCCTGGCGATTCTTTCCGTAGAGGACATCGAGGATCTCTACATATTCGGAACCATGATAACAGGCTATCTGCTGATTGGATTAGGCATTGCCCTGGTGTATCGGAAAATTAGGAAGACGTTGTCAGCAGTCCAAAGCCCCATGAAGCTGCCCGACATGATTGATGAAGTGAGCAGAGCTGTTAACGCTCAGACTGTGGTCATTAACCGCAACATGGAAAACACCTTGGAAAGAGCTGTTAATGCTCAGACTGTGGTCATTAACCGCAACATGGATAACATCTTGGAGAAGTTTTCGGCTTTGCAAAGGAGAATGAATCGATGTGAAGACCAGAATGGACAATCAGAGTAAGTCATGTCCATTGAAATGCGACTACTCGCCCTAACCCAAACAATCATAATCTAATCTGCATTCCGGCCCTCAACAACTCCTCCAGGAGATCGCTGCAGTGAGACGCTCTGCACTATTCCTCCCTCCCTTCCCACACGGACACCTGTTGATAGTCGACTCTGTTTAGGACCCGATCAGGGACGTCTCCATGGCAACCTGCTGTGTTATCGCGATGACACCATGTGAACTGAGGCACTGATTGAGAGGCTAGACGAAGTGACTCTCCAGGCTTATGTGCACACACGCACCCATGGACACTTACACATGCGCATATGCAACACACCTATATCTGATTCTGATTCTGACTCTGATTTTAATTTCCTTTTTATAGGAGCGATGAGTCTAATGTTGATCGTAGTGAGCCTGCAGCACTATTAACAAGATTATCAATTTCGGAGGGATTTGAGTTATTATAGGACTCTGTTATATTCAGAAATGGCACTGAATTAAACACTGATTGAATCTCCTCCTTAAATTTAGCTACAGCACTGTCAGATAGACATCTGCTGTAGGAAGTTTTGCCTAATGGCTTATAATCTAATGATAGAAATTTAAAACTTATTAAATAATGGTCAGATAGAAAAGGATTATATGGGAAGACTATTAAATGTTCAATATCAATGCAATATGAACAAGGTCAAGAGTGTGATTAAAACAATGAGGTGGTTTATTTACACTCTGACGGAAGCCAATTGAGTCAATTAATGACATAAATGCATTACTAAGGCTGTCATTGTTAACATCCACATGAATATTAAAATCACCTACAATAATTACTTTATCTGATTTGAGGACTAAACTTGATAAAAACTCTGATAGAAAATCAGAGTACGGGGCAGGAGCGCGGTACACTATAACAAACAGAACTGGCTGCAGTGTTTTCCAGGTCGGATGAGAAAGACTAAGAACAAGACTTTTTATTTAATTATAATTTAGTTTAGGTTTAGGGTCCATTAAAACGCTTGAATCATATATGGCTGCTACTCCACCTCCTCGGCCAGTGCCTCGAGGAACGTGAGTATTAATATGACTGGGGGGGTGGATTCATTTAGGCTAACATACTCCTTGTGGGACAACCAGGTCTCAGTAAGACAAAGTAAATCAATATCATAATCTGATATTAATTCATTAACTAGAACAGCTTTAGAAGACAGAGACCTGGTATTTAACAGTCCACATTTTATTATTTTATTTTGTGCTACTGAGTAGTTGGTTTTAATTTTTATTAGGTTTTTATGTTTAATTCCTGTTGTTTTTATTTCTTTAAATAATGTAGGTGGTTGGGGGACAAACACACTCTCTATGGTGTTTTGGGTGGGTGACTGTTCTAATGGAAGAGCAGAGAAGTGTGTAAGACAGCAGCTCTGCTTCCTGGTCCCAACTCTGGACTGTCAGGTTTTAGAAATAAACTTTGCCATATTCCTAGATAAGAGAGCTGCTACATCCAACGTGGGATGGATGCCGTCTCTCCTAATCAGTTATCTATGAAGCCCATATCGTTTTCTGGACACCACCTCGACAGCCAGCGGTGGAATGACGACATGTGGCTATACATGTCATCAATGGTCACATTGGGCAGGGGTCCAGAGAAAACTACGGAGTCTGACATTGTTTTTGCATAATTACACACCGACTCCACATTCATTTTGGTGACCTCTGATTGGCGTAATCGGGTGTCATTACCGCCAACAGAATAACTATCTTATTATATTTACGCTTATCTTTCGCCAGCAGCTTTAAATATGCTTCAATATCGCCCGCTCTGGCCCCAGAGATACATTTAACTGTGGCCGCTGGCTTCAAAATGTTTTTCATTGTCATTGTGCAGAGGTTGTCTACTTACAGTATATAATGAGTACACACCTAATTACTAAAAATGTATATGATTCGAAAATTGTATAATCTTAAAATAATTTTATTATTTTTAAGTTGAAGTGCAGTGTATGTGATGCACAATTAAAAACAAACAGGTTAGATGATTGTTTGTTAGATGTCTTCTCAATCTATCTCTCTCCATCTGGTAATCTATCCGAGTATCTAAGATAAAGCACTATATAAATGTAATATTGAATTCATATTAGTAGATTATAAGCCATTAGGCAAAACTTCCTACAGCAGATGCCTATCTGACAGTGCTGTAGCTAAATTTAAGGAGGACATTGCATCAATGTTTAATTCAATGCCATGTCTGAATTATAATTCATTTGAAAGCCTTGTTCTTAGTCTTTCTCACCCAAACTGGAAAACACTGCAGCCAGTTCTATTTGTTATAGTGTACCGCGCTCCTGGACCGTACTCTGATTTTATATCTGAATTTTCAGAGTTTCTATCAAGTTTAGTCCTTAAATCAGATAAAGTAATTATTGTAGGTGATTTTAATATTCATGTGGATGTTAACAATGACAGCCTTAGTAATGCATTTATATCATTAATAGACTCAACTGGCTTCTGTCAGAGTGTAAATAAACCAACTCATTGTTTTAATCACACTCTTGACCTTGTTTTATCATATGGCATTGATATTGAACATTTAATAGTCTTCCCACATAATCCTTTCCTATCTGACCATTATTTAATAACTTTTGAATTCATACTATTAGATTATAAGCCATTAGGCAAAACTTCCTACAGCAGATGTCTATCTGACAGTGCTCCAGCTAAATTTAAGGAGGAGATTCCTTCAGTGTTTAATTCAATGCCATGTCTGAATTTAACAGAGTCCTATAACGACTTTAGTCCCTCTGAAATTGATAATCTTGTCGATAGTGCTACAGGCTCACTACGATCAACATTAGACTCTATCGCTCCTATAAAAAGGAAATTATTAAAACATAGGAGACTAGCACCTTGGTATAACCACCAAACCCGCCAGTTAAAACAAATACCTAGGAAATCTGAAAGGAAATGGCGCTCTTCCAAATTATCAGAATATCGCTCAAATTGGCAAAATAATCTTAAAATTTATAGAAAGGCCCTCCGTAATGCCAGAGGAGCCTATTACTCAGCACTAATAGAAGAAAATAAGAATAACCCTAGGTTCCTCTTCAGCACTGTAGCCAGGCTGACAGAGAGTCACAGCTCTATTGAGCCACATATCCCCATAAACTTAAGTAGCAATGACTTCATGAGCTTCTTCTATAATAAAATTATTACTATTAGAGAAAAAATTAATCACCAACTGCCATCAACAGTTATCAGTGGCTCTCCAAGTTCAGGGACTTCTGTCAATGTAAACTTAGATGTATATTTAGACTGTTTTTCTGCTATCGATCTTCATCAGTTAACTTCAATCATTTCTTCATCAAAGCCATCAACCTGTCTATTAGACCCGATCCCAACTAGGCTGCTTAAAGAAGTTGTTCCCTTAATTGGCACTTCTTTACTGGATATGATTAATCTTTCTTTATTATCAGGATATGTACCACAGTCCTTTAAAGTAGCTGTAATTAAACCCCTTCTTAAAAAGTCCACTCTTGACCCAGGGGTTTTAGCCAACTATAGACCGATTTCTAACCTCCCCTTCCTCTCTAAGATTCTGGAGAAAGTAGTCGCCAAAGAGTTGTGTGACTTTCTACATAACAATAGTTTATTTGAGGATTTTCAGTCAGGATTTAGAGTTCATCATAGCACAGAGACAGCTCTGGTTAAAGTTAATAATGACCTTCTGACTGCTTCTGACAATGGACTTGTCTCTGTACTTGTATTATTAGATCTTAGTGCTGCATTTGACACCACTGACCATAATATTCCTTTACAGAGACTTGAGCATCAAATTGGCATTAAAGGAATCGCACTAAGCTGGTTTAGGTCATACTTATCAGATCGTTCTCAGTTTGTACACGTTAACGATGAATCTTCAATAAATACTACAGTCATGGAGTTCCACAAGGTTATGTACTTGGACCAATACTATGTACTTTATATATGCTTCCCTTAGGCATCATTATTAGGAAACACTGCATTCACTTTCATTGTTATGCAGATGATACGCAGTTATATCTATCAATCAAGCCCGATGAAATTAATCAATTATCTAAGTTACAATCATGTCTTAAGGACATAAAAACCTGGATGAGCTGCAATTTTCTGACGTTAAACTCAGAAAAAAAACGTAATTCTTGTACTTGTTCCCAAAAACCTCCGAGACTCACTGTCTAAAGATATAGTTACTCTAGATGGCATTACCTTGGCCTCTAGCACCACTGTCAGGAATCTTGGAGTTATCTTTGATCAGGATATGTCATTTAATTCCCACATAAATCAAACCTCTAGGACTGCCTTCTTTCATTTACGGAATATTAGAAAAATTAGACACATCCTATCACAGACAGATGTAGAAAAACCAATCCATGCATTCGTTACTTCTAGGCTGCATTACTGCAAGTCTTTATTATCAGGTTGCCCCAATAAGTCCATTAAAACGCTCCAATTAATTCAGAACGCTGCAGCACGAGTACTGACAGGAAATAGGAAAAGAGATCACATCTCTCCTGTACTAGCTTCTCTGCACTGGCTCCCTATAAAATGTAGAATAGAATTTAAATCCTATAACCTATAAAGCTCTTGATGATCAGGCCCCTTCATATCTTAAAGAGCTCATAGTACCTTATTACCCCTCTAGAACACTACGTTCTCTGAATGCTGGGCTACTTGTGGTTCCTATAGTCTCTAAAAGTAGAACAGGAGCCAGAGCCTTCAGTTACCAAGCTCCTCTCCTGTGGAACCAGCTTCCATTTGTGGTTCGGGAGGCAGACACCCTCACCACATTCAAGAGTAGGCTTAAGACATTCCTCTTCGATAAAGCTTATAGTTAGGGCTGGATCAGGTGAGTCCTGAACCATCCCTTAGTTATGCTGCTATAGGCCTAGACTATCGGGGGATTTCCCATGGTGCACTGAGCTACTCTCTTCCTCTCTCTTTCTGCACTCATTCATGTCCCATTAATGCATGTTACTAACTTCACTTCTTCCCCGGAGTTCTTGTGCTTTCTCGTCTCGCAGGTTCTCATGGATCCTGGTGGAGCCTGCAGCCATGGTCCTGCTTGACTGCCATTGCTAATATTATTGATATTATTGTTATTATTATTATTATTACTACAGTTACTATTATTAATATAATCACTGCTCATTGTCCCCCATCGTCGTTGTCATCGCCATCATCTTTTTCATGTTCATCATCATCAGTCACTATTAGTTGTTGCTACTGTTGTTGCTGTGCACCTCTCTCTGTCTGTCTGTCTGTCTGTCTGTCTGTCTCTCTCTCACCCCAACTGGTCGAGGCAGATGACCACCCACCTAGAGCCGAAGGGTCTGTCCTAGGTTTCTGCCTCTTAAAAGGCAGTTTTTCCTTGCAGAGAAGTGGAGGAGCAGTTGCACCAGTGGTTAGGAGGTACGTGAGGAGGTGCAGTAGTCGTCCTCCAAGAATAACCACACACAATTTGTTATATATGCAACCTTGCACTGAAAAACCCAGACAGACAGAAGGGAAGTGCTTCTGACTTGGCACTAGTTTTTCCTGTTGAACTTCCAGTGGCTGCTCAGAGATTGTCTGAAATGGACATGGCGAGGACTAGCACAGTGACTCCATAGTGCCGACCATGAAACATGGAGAAGGGAGTGTGCCGATACGGGGGGAGAGGACATTTATAGATGAACCATTGTACTTTGTAGTATACTGTACTTAGAGCACAACAGGAACATCCACGTCCTATTCTTAGACTCATTCAATGCATTCAGTTCAATAACCTCTGGTGGTCTACATTAAAATTTTTCCATGTACCAGAACAACCAAGTACTTCCACTTTTCAACACACAAAAGAATGATCTGTCAGTTCCCCACAGTGAGGCATACAGCATACAGATTAATTTAACACTGGAATTGGATCAGCACTCTGTATCAGCACATAGCCAAATTCAGGTGCATTCCTACTTGAGACCATCAACAGAAACTTGCTTTCAGGAAACCTCAAACTCTGGAGTCTACAGTTCAGATTGCTCCCTCACTGACTGAATGTGAAGTCCTCATCAGTGGAGACGATGGTCAGTTCCTGGCTGAGACTTGCCGTCATCATCCTGTATGATAAAGGAGTCGTGCAAGTGCCTCTCTCACGACTCATGGAAGAACTGAAGTGTACTGAGGTGAGGCTTGAGGTAACTGTTTCTGAATCCCAGGAAAACGGTTGGTGTTGGAAGGTGAAGCTTGGCTCAACTCAAGCATGCCAGCATTGTTGGAAAGGCTGAAGGTATGTGTGTGTGTGAGTGAGTGTGTACCTCCGTAGAGATCTTCTTGTTTCTTAGTCTGACTCTAACTGGACTCTGAACACCATCTGAAGAAGAAGCTGGATCGCTTTCACCATCTGAACTCATCTTCACATCCTCGTGAACTATTTCTGAAAATACACAACCATATACACACATAGTAACATACACACTAATCCACAGTAATACCCACAGTCACACACTAGCATGTTACTAGCGTCTTCTATGGAATCTATGCATTCTTCAATGGCGCCGGCGACAACGGCAGCCTCTCATTGCAGCTCCTATCATTGTTGTAGTTTTAGTGTGTTTTCAGTGTTTTTAGCCTGTGTTTTTTTTTTTGCTATTTTTAACTGTTTTCTTGCTTTCTTGTTATTTTGTTCGGTCGCCTTGATACTTTTTCAGCGTTTTTGAGCACTTTTATTTTTTGTTTACGCTGGTCTCCATGGCGACGGAGAATCGCATTGTTTACACCCGCGACCAGATGATCGCCCTGGGGTACCCGAGCATCCTGACTGGAGAGAGACCCTCCATACCGGAGGAGCTGAGGATGAGACGGCGAGGCTGCAGATCGGGGTTAAACGGAGGATGAAGAGGGGGAGGCTTAAACCCTACATCCCTGCAATCATCGAGCAGATACCGGACTCCAACGTCACCCCCTGCTCTCCTCATCCCGCTGGCGTGGGGTGAATCACCGCAACTTACGGCCTCTGTGTCGGGCTCCCGGTCAGCCAACGCCGCGGCCCCGCCGGTTCCTGCCAGGATTGGCCTGGTAAATGCTAGATCACTAGCGAACAAGACTTTTGTCTTAAAGGACTTCTTCACGTCCCGAGGATTGGATTTCCTCTGTGTGACTGAGACATGGCTGAGTGTTGGTGAATCCAGCGCTTTCACTGAACTTTTACCCCATGATTGCTGCTACTTTAACGCCCCGCGGATGTCGGGCCAAGGAGGAGGAATAGCGACCGTCTATAAGAATCATTATAAATGTAAGCAGCTATTGCTGTCATCCTCTTTCACCAGCTTTGAATTGAGCTTATTTGAGCTTGGTCGCTCTCACACAGTGTTGTGTGCTGTGGTCTATCGGCCTCCCAGGTACAATAAGGACTTTTTAAATGACTTCTCTGATTTCCTGGCTGAAATCATGCCTAAATATGACCGTGTTCTTATTGTTGGGGATTTTAATGTTCATGTGTGTTGTCCAGATAAGCCAATGGCAAAGGGTTTTTTAAACCTCATTGATTCTTTTAATCTTGTGCAATCTGTGTCTGGACCCACACAAGAACACGGACACACACTTGATCTTGTCTTATCATATGGTTTGCCCGTTTTTAACCTAGAGATATGTGACGCAGTGTTTTCTGACCATATGCCTGTATTATTTGAGGCTGCCCTTGCCTGTCATACAGTTAAACCTCGCGCTGCTGCTCGGCGCTGTCGCATTATTAACCCTTCCACTGCTGTTCAGTTCTCCGTTGCTTTCAATCAGAACTCCATCTTTCCTGAGTCTGTGTGCAGTACAGAGGTGCTTAGCTCATGGTTTCACTCCACCTGCCAAACTGTTTTAGACACTGTGGCTCCATTAAAATCCAGGCAGCCTAAAACTAAATCTGAGCCCTGGCTAAATGATACGACTCATGCGGTCAGACGTGAGTGCCGTAGAGCTGAGCGCAAGTGGAAGAAGGACAAACTGCAGGTGTCTTTTCAAATGTTAAGGAACTGCTGGCGTCATTATCAAAAAACTGTGAAAGATGCTAAAAGAAAACATTTCTCAGATATTATCCTGTCAAACTGTCACAAGCCTTGTGTTTTGTTTAACACTATTGACTCACTTCTGAATGCCCCACAGACTGCCTGTATAGAGGCGTCCCCCGCTGTGTGTGAAAACTTCCTTCACTTTTTATTGATAAGGTCACTTCAATTAGGGCTCAAATCTCACCTTCAGCTTATGACCCTCAATCTCTGTCCCCTGCTCTGCTGTCTTTGACCATTTTGAGCCTGTGACTTTTTCCTTTTTACAGGAGGTTGTTGGTCATTTGAAGCCCTCAGGTTCTCCAAATGATGCTGTCCCCCTCGACTATTTAAGGAGGTTTTCCCCACTGTAGGACCATCTGTTATTGCAGTCATAAATAGCAGTCTGACCTCAGGTGTGGTCCCTGAAAATTTTAAACATGCAGTAGTACAACCTCTGATTAAAAACCTGCTCTAGATCCTGCAGTTCTTGCTAATTTCAGGCCTATCTCCAAACTGCCTTTCCTTTCAAAAATCCTGGAGAAGATTGTGCACAGTCAATTAATGGCCTTTCTGGAAGAACATAATATTCTAGAGGTTTTCCAATCCGGTTTTAAAACCCTGCACAGCACAGAATCAGCTCTCTTAAGAGTTTTTTATGATATCTTTTAGCTACTGACTCTGGTGACTGTGTTATCCTTGTGCTTTTAGATTTAACTGCTGCATTTGGCAAAGTGGATCATGAAATACTGATCTCACGTTTGAAGCAGTGGGTGGGCATCAGGGGCATAGCACTGGAGTGGTTCAGGTCTTACTTGGCTGATCGAACTTTCTGTGTCAGCCTAGGTGACTCTGTATCCTCCTCTGCTCCTCTCTCGTGTGGGGTCCCACAGGGCTCAGTTCTTGGCCCTCTCCTTTTCTCTCTCTATTTGCTCCCACTTGGTTCCATACTTAGGAAGCACGGCTTTTCATTCCACTGTTATGCAGACGACAGTCAGATTTATGTGCCTCTTAAAAAGAAAAATGAATACTCTGTCAGACTGCTACTTAAGTGCCTTGACGACATAAAGGCCTGGATGACTCTGAACTTTTTAAATTTCAATGATAAAAAGACAGAAGTGATGGTTTTTGGTGGCACCACAGGGATCCCCCTGTAGATCTGGGTTCCTTGGCCCAGTATATTAAACCTAGCATCACAAACCTAGGGGTTAGGTGGACCCTGAGCTTAAGTTTGACAGTCAGATCAAGGCTGTTGTCAAATCAGCTTTTTCATTTGAGGCAGCTGGCCAAAATAAAGCCATTCTATCAAGGCAGCACTTTGAGACGGTAATCCACGCCTTTGTTACCACTGGCTGGATTACTGTAATGCACTTATGTGGGGGTTAGTGGGTCCTCCATCGCCCGTCTTCAGATGGTACGAATGCTGCTGCCGTTTTTAACTGGCACATGTAAACATGAGCACATTTCCCCATTTTAGCCTCACTCCACTGGCTGCCAATTCAATTTAGGATCCATTTTAAAATTCTTTTATTTGCTTTTAAATCCCTAAATGGTCTTGCCCCGCCCTACCTATCTGGCTTCTACACCCCTTATACCGTCCGCCCCTCGGTCGATGATCAGCTGCTCCTGAGTGTGCCTAAACTAGCGGAAGCTCGGGGGACCGTGCCTTTGCTGTGTCTGCTCCTAAATTATGGAATGATCTGCCTCTGCACATTAAACGGCCTCTTCTCTGTCTGTTTTTAAACCGGTCTTAAAACCCATCTCTTCTCTGTGGCCTTTGACACCTAGTAAGATGTCGACTTTATTTACTTGATTTATTTTTTGTATTTGTTATTTTTACTTTTTGATTGCTTGTTATTGCATGGTTATTATTTTTATTTATGTCTTTTCATTTTATTGTTGTATTATATGTTATTTTGCGCCTCTGTGAGCTGTTATGTCTTTTATTTATGATGTCTTATTTATTCTCCTGTACGCACTTTGGTCAACTTTGGTTGTTTTAAAGTGCTTAACAAATAAAGTTGGATTGGATTGGATTGGATTCTTGTACTCTGACTGGTAAGAGCTAATGCTAGTTGGTTAGCAGCTAAAATTACAAATCAGGCTAAAGACAATTAAAATAACCAAATACATTTCAGAACTATAGAAGCAGTGGGTAGAGTATTGTAGTGATAAGATTAATGATCAGATTGTAGTGATCATATTTATGATCGTCTTATCTCACAGCATTAGCGGATAGATAACTAGTCGTTTACTGTATTTGTACAATTTATAAAAAACATTTTTCTAATTTTCACTTTCGCCTGAAATTTTGTTGTAAAAAAATGCATAAAACATTGCAGCATGCATCGTCATGAAATCACCGAAACAGCCTGTGAAATTCTGGAGGACTGGGTAGTGCAGTATTTGTACATGTATTTGCAGTATTAGTACCCAGTCGTGTGGTGTGGTTCAGGTAGGAGCTCAGGCTGCGTCCAAGGCCTCGAGGTTTCCTCAGTGAGCTGCTGTACGACTGAAGGAGAGACTGAACTGAAGAGGAGGAACCTCGAACCTTCAAACCTCCAGAAGAACCACGAAGAGACACCACCTCTGATGGGGGGTAAAGGAGAGATAAAGGAGAGGAGGAGGAGGTGTGAAGGAGAGATGAAGGAAAGGAGGGGAGATGAAAGAGAGAAGGGGAGATGAAGGAGAAAAGAAGGAGAGGAGAGAAGAAGGAGGTGTAAAGGAGAGATGAAGGAGGTTTGAAGGAGGTGTGAAGGAGAGAAGAAGGATAGATGAAGGAGGTGTGAAGGAGAGAAGAAGGATAGATGAAGGATAGATGAAGGAGGTGGGAAGGAGAGATGAAGCAGAGATGAAGGAAAGGAGGAGGAAGTGTGAAGGAGAGATTAAGGAGAGTAATAATTAAGGAATATTGCTGTCATAATTAAGGAATATTACTGTAATAATTAAGGAATATTACGGTAATAATTAAGGAATATTACTGTCATAATTAAGGAATATTACTGTAATAATTAAGGAATATTACGGTAATAATTAAGGAATATTACTGTAATAATTAAGGAATATTACGGTAATAATTAAGGAATATTACGGTAATAATTAAGGAATATTACAGTAATAATTCAGTCATAATGAGGGAATATTACTAATAGTTAATGAATATTACTGAAATAATTAAGTAATAATTACAGAATATTACTGTCATAATTCAGTAATAAAACAGTAATAATTAAGGAATGCTACTATAATAATTAAGGAATATTACGGTAATAATTCGGTAATAATGAGGGAATATTTGTGTAATAATTAATGAATATTACTGTAATAATTCATTAATAATTCAGTAATAATTAAGAAATATTACTGTCATAATTAAGGAATATTACTGTAATAATTAAGGAATGTTACTATAATAATTAAGGAATATTACGGTAATAATTCAGTAATAATGAGGGAATATTTGTGTAATAATTAATGAATAATTCATTAATAATTCAGTAATAATTAAGAACTATTACTGTCATAATTAAGGAATATTACTGTAATGATTCAGTAATAATTCAGTAAAAATGAGGGAATATCTGTAATGATTCAGTAATAATTCAGTAAAAATGAGGGAATATTACTGTAATAATTCTGTAGTAATAATACCAGAGAGTGTGTGTGTGTGTGTGTGTGTGTGTGTGTGTTACCTGAGTCACTGTGTGATGTCACTTCCTGGTTGATTGTGTCACTCAGTGTCCTGTCCCCTGCCCCGGCCCCTCCCCTCCCCAGAGTGAGTGACAGCTGCCGTTTGATCTTCCTCATCCTCTCCATGAGGGGGGGCCGGGGGGGCAGAGGGGGGAGTGATACTGAGGGGGGCGGGGCAGCCAGCCTGGAGACGACACCTGGACAGGTTAACACAGAAAATGCTAGAAAGAAAAATAAAAGTATAGCATTTCACTGTGAAGAACAGGACAGAAGAAACACAGCGAATACATCATATAATGATGAATTAACAAGAACAATATCTTATAATTAATTATCGATGATTAATTAACAGTTTAAAGGAAGAAAGTCAGTTGAAAGTTCTTCAAAGGTTAGGGTTAGGGTTCTGCTCCCTAAAGCAGTGAGACAGTGTTCAGTATATAGTCTGTATATATTAATAGTGTTCAGTATATAGTCTGTATATATATATATATATTAATAGTGTACAGTATATAGTCTGTATATATATATATTAATAGTGTTCAGTATATAGTCTGTATATATATATATATATTAATAGTGTACAGTATATAGTCTGTATATATATATATTAATAGTGTTCAGTATATAGTCTGTATATATATATATATTAATAGTGTTCAGTATATAGTCTGTATATATATATATTAATAGTGTTCGTATATAGTCTGTATATTTGTATATATATTAATAGTGTACAGTATATAGTCTGTATATATATATATTAATAGTATTCAGTATATAGTCTGTATATATATATATATTAATAGTGTTCAGTATATAGTCTGTATATATATATATATTAATAGTGTTCAGTATATAGTCTGTATATATATATATATTAATAGTGTTCAGTATATAGTCTGTATATATATATATATATATATATATATATTAATACAGTGTTTCTATATTGTCAATGACTGCGACCAGAAACAGCCTTTCTGTTTGAAGGATTAAATGGGAACAGAACAGAGGCATTGTGGTAGCTCAGATCCTGAACTCCCTCAGATGAGAATGTTTCATAGAGAACATCTTCGGGTAAACTAGAGGATCCTCGCGGGCTCTGAACACCTTCACCCAGTATCGGGAATGCCTCCGATACTGCCGAAAATGCTGGCATCAGTATCGGCAAGTCCAGGCACCGATCCGATACCACGTAATTTATTAGAAAAACAAATCTATTTACTGGTTAGCTCTGTTAGCTCTGACACAGTTCTTCTTCGCCACTCTTAAAACAGTTGCGGTGTGCTGCCATCGGCAGCTGCTGTTTTAGAGGGGCGAAGAAGAATTGATCACCTGACACCCGTTAAAGGGAGCTAACATTAGAGCATCATGTCGGCGGTTTGGCAGTACTTTACAGTGGATGTTCCCACCAGTAAGACGGCGACATGCAACATATGCAAAGAAGCAATTTCGAGGGGTGGCACGAGTGTTGCAAATTTCAACACCAGCAACTTAATCAAACATCTGAAGACGCGATAATCATATCACAGCAGTGGCGGACTGTCCAACGGGAGCACCGGGACATTTCCCGGTGGCCAGTCCACCGAACTGGCCTGCTCGACGATTGCCAATGGTCGGGACCAAAGGCTCGGTTCGGGTCACGCTTGATTTTGAAATAAACAATCCGTTGTGCGGCTCATTAGGGTATCTGCCTCGCTGAAGCTCACACAGACAGAGCAGCAACGTTGGGCACAAACACACACCCCCCTCTCATTTTCTGAGGCTCTCTGTCACAGCACTGCAGGCAGACACACACACACACTCTCACACACACACACACACACACACACACACACACACACCCCAAGTCGCGCCCCCGTCCCCCTCCTCTCTCCCTCCTCCCTCACCTGTAGTTCTACATGCTTGAAAAATGGAGCGAGATCCATAGCCCAAGAGGAAAGGTGGAGCAGAGAGGGAGAGAGCCACAGATCAGCAAAGTGCTGTAAAATAACTGACCTGTTTGTCAGTAAGGGAGCAGGTAAGACATTAAACACTAATGGTGACAACAGACACACAACCAGAGCCTATCCAGCACCACCAACTTAATGAGGAGGGTAGATCCACTTTGTGGAAGCTGATGGGGATAAAACTGACTTAATAAAACAAATGTTTTAAGAGGTAACAAAGGATTTAGCAAATGTCTTTCTGTGTGTGTTTAAAGTTTCCTTGTTTAATGTAACAGAGAATAAACCTACACATCTGCATCTTTATTTAATTTACTACTACACTATTAATGTGCCGCCTGCACATTAAAGTGTAGTAGTAAATTAAATAGAATAGAAATTATGTGATTTGAGTTCAGGTTATTGCAGCACAACAGAAACATTTATTTTGTAGGGGAAAGAAACAGAAAAAGCTGTATGTGGGCGCATGTGGAGCCTTTGCTCTATTATTTTACACTCTTACATCAGTAGGCGCCAACCTAACTCACTCTTGGTGTTTCGTGTTAATCGGGTGGTGGTGGCCTGGGATGGTATCAAACTCCCGGCCTGAAGTATTGTCCCAGTCCGCCCCTGTATCACAGTCAGGCGTAGTATGATTTTTTTTTTTTTTTTTTAACACACTGGTATCGGTATCTGTACTCGGTATCGGCCGATAGCCACAGCACGAGTATCGGAATCGGTATCAGGAGGGAAAAAATGGTATCGGAACATCTCTAACGACAACATAAGTCAGGTAAAACTGATCCACCTTTTGTAGAACGAGTACCTGAAGTTACACCTGACGTCTCAGTTACTCACCTCACTGCATAGAACAGCCCTCTGGTATACAACAACAACAACAACAACAACAACAACAGCAGCAGCACAGGCTATCTACCTGACAGCTAACAGGCTATTCAGTTCAATTCAATTCAGTTTTATTTGTATATCACCAATTCATAACAGAAGTTATCTCAGGACACTTTTCAAATAGAGCAGGTCTAGACCGAACTCTTTTAACATTAATTACAGAGACCCAACAGTACCACCATGAGCAAGACCTTGGAGACAAGGGCAAGGAAACACTGCCTGTTAAAAGGCAGAAACCTAGGACAGATCCTCCGGCTCTAGGTGGGTGGTCGTCTGTCTCGACCAGTTGGGGTGAGAGAGAGAGAGAGAGAGACAGAGAGAGAGAGAGAGAGAGAGAGAGAGACAGAGAGAGAGAGACAGAGAGAGAGAGAAGACAGACAGACAGACAGACAGGTGCACAGCAACAACAGTATTGGTCACCTGACAGGCTAGCTACCTGACAGCTTACATGCTAACACCTGACCCACTGACAGGTGTATGATGTCACAGTACGTCACTAACCATAAATAATTAAAGCTAAATGTGTGTCTCTGCAGCTAGCAGCTAGCAGCTAGCAGCTGGTCTTCAGTGTGTCTGTGCTCTCTGTGGTACTGGCTATGTGCAGTCTCTCTCTCAGTGTGCAGCGGACGGGGCCCGTCTATCTCCTGCAGTCAATGTCCTCTGCGTTATAAATAGCAGCGGAGGCGGAGCGGTTTAATGTCTGAAGCTGCTGCTCCGTTAAGGTCCCCGTCACAACCGCATTAAATGGTTTCCCGATTTCACCTGAAGCTCGGCGGTGTGTCTTACTCACCGGGAGGGTCTGTCCCGGTCTGTCCCGGGTTGTGTTTGGCTCGGTTCAGTCTGACAGAGTCTCGGATCTTTCTGGCTCCCAGTAATCTGCAGCCATGTTGCTGCTCGGCTCCGCTCCTCCGGTGCGTCCTGACGGAGACACTCACCGCACCGACACTGACGTCACAGCACGGCGCCACCGGCATGTGCCCCCCCCCCAAACAATATAAACAACAACAACCATAATAATTCTATATAATAATAATAATAATAATAAAGTATGTTGGATAAATGAGTTTTATCAATGATTATATATCTATTATAAATTAATGTTCATTTTGTACATTAATGGAAAATAGTATTTTGATTTATTTAATAATATTTTAATAAACATATTTCAGGTATTTTGTATCTAACTTTTATTCATAAAATGTACATTGTAATCAATCAGTCAATATGTATACATGTGAACGAATGTCTCCCACCCCATGCAGGACCCCATCAGTACACTGAGAGATATCGTAGGTCCTTCCTCCCTGCTGCTGTCAGACTGTTTAACAACCAGCACTGCTCCCAGTAACCCCCCCCCATCTCGGCATCAATAATAATAATAATGTTGAAAATAACAATAATTACTGTGCAATCTATTGCCCATGTGCAACTGCTGCTGCTAATATTTGTGTTATCTGTTGTTGTGGATTCTTACTGTTTTTTCTCTTGTACATTTATTATTTTCCTACTCTTACTGTTTTTTATACAGTTTTTTTCTCTATCCACTTTGCTGCTGTAATATTGGAATTTCCCCATTGTGGGATAAATAAAGGAATATCTATCTATCTAACACATTGTAATCAATATATAGACACATATGAACACATTGTAATCAATAAATGTATAGATATAGGACAGGAAGTGAGGTCCACAGAGACAGCTGGAGGATTAAGAAGCTGATTGGCTGAAGAGGATTAAAACAAGCTGACAGAGAGATACACAGACAGAGAGACAGACAGACAGACTGAGAGAGAGACAGATACACGGACAGACAGACAGAGAGACAGAGAGAGAGACAGAGAGACAGAAAGACAGACAGACAGAGAGAGAGACAGAAAGACAGACAGACAGAGAGAACAAGAGAGAGACAGACAAAGAGAGAGACAGACAGACAGACAGACAGACAGACAGACAGAAGACTGAAAGAAGAATAAGAAGAGTTAACGACACCAGCTGGTACTGATACTGTAATACTGCTTTTACTGTTAGTACAGAACTGAAGGTACTAATGTTTCTCTGTCTGTCTCTCTGTCTGTCTCCTGTCTGTCTGTTTCTCTCTCTTTCTTTCTCCCTTTCTGTCTGTCTCTTTGTCAGTATGTCTGTGCCCACAGTGTTGGTGGTCGTGGTCGCTGTGTGTGTTTTGTGTCGTTGTTTGATTCCCTGGTTGGTTCAGTCTAACTCCACTCTGGCTCTGTTATGGTACGATGTCCTGCTGGAGATGACGCTCGACTTCTTGACACGAACAACACGACCTCAGGTGACCCCAGACTGCCTGTATGTCTCTTCACCTAACTGTCTAACCGTCTGCCTGCCTGCCTGCCTGCCTACCTGTCTAGTTGCCTGCTAACTTGTCTGTCTGTCTGTTTACCTGACTGTCTTTCTGGCAGCGCCTCTTGCAGGCTGTCAGTATAAATGCAGTCAGAGGAGATCCAGACAGCGTCATCAAAGCCATCGATCACTTCTGTAAACACACAGAGTGGGCTATGAACGTAGGAGACGAGAAAGGTAAACACACACACACACACACACACACACACTGTAAAATACACTCTGTAATACGCACACTGTAATATACACACTGTAATATAAACACTGTAATACACACTGTAATATACACACTGTAATATACACACTGTAATACACACTGTAATACACACTGTAATATAAACACTGTAATACACACTGTAATATACACACTGTAATATACACACTGTAATACACACTGTAATATAAACACTGTAATATACATACTGTAATACACACTGTAATATACACACTGTAATACACACTGTAATATACACACTGTAATATACACTGTAATATACACACTGTAATATACACACTGTAATATACACACTGTAATACACACTGTAATATACACACTGTAATATACACACTGTAATATACACACTGTAATACACACTGTAATATACACACTGTAATACACACTGTAATATAAACACTGTAATATACACACTGTAATATACACACTGTAATATACACACTGTAATACACACTGTAATATACACACTGTAATATACACACTGTAATACACACTGTAATATACACACTGTAATACACACTGTAATACACACTGTAATATACACACTGTAATATACACACTGTAATACACACTGTAATATACACACTGTAATATACACACTGTAATACACACTGTAATATACACACTGTAATACACACTGTAATATACACACTGTAATATACACACTGTAATACACACTGTAATATACACACTGTAATACACACTGTAATATACACACTGTAATATACACTGTAATACACACTGTAATATACACACTGTAATACACACTGTAATATACACACTGTAATATACACTGTAATACACACTGTAATATAAACACTGTAATACACACTGTAATATACACACTGTAATATACACACTGTAATACACACTGTAATATACACACTGTAATACACACTGTAATATACACTGTAATATAAACACTGTAATACACACTGTAATATAAACACTGTAATATACACACTGTAATACACACTGTAATATACACACTGTAATATACACTGTAATATACACACTGTAATATACACACTGTAATACACACTGTAATATACACACTGTAATACACACTGTAATATACACTGTAATATAAACACTGTAATATACACTGTAATATACACACTGTAATATACACTGTAATACACACTGTAATACACACTGTAATATAAACACTGTAATACACACTGTAATATACACACTGTAATACACACTGTAATATACACTGTAATATAAACACTGTAATATACACTGTAATACACACTGTAATACACACTGTAATATAAACACTGTAATATACACTGTAATATACACACTGTAATATACACTGTAATATAAACACTGTAATACACACTGTAATATAAACACTGTAATATACACTGTAATACACACTGTAATACACACTGTAATATAAACACTGTAATACACACTGTAATATACACACTGTAATATACACTGTAATACACACTGTAATATACACACTGTAATATACACTGTAATACACACTGTAATACACACTGTAATATAAACACTGTAATATACACACTGTAATATACACACTGTAATATACACTGTAATATAAACACTGTAATATACACTGTAATACACACTGTAATACACACTGTAATATAAACACTGTAATACACACTGTAATATACACACTGTAATATACACTGTAATACACACTGTAATATACACACTGTAATATACACTGTAATACACACTGTAATACACACTGTAATATAAACACTGTAATACACACTGTAATATACACACTGTAATATACACTGTAATACACACTGTAATATACACACTGTAATATACACTGTAATACACACTGTAATACACACTGTAATACACACTGTAATATAAACACTGTAATATACACTGTAATATACACTGTAGTATATGCTCTCTCTCTCTCTCTCTCTGTCTCTCTCTCGCTCTCTCTCTCTCTCTCTCTCTCTCTCTCTCTCTCTCTCTCTCTCTCTCACCCCAACTGGTCGAGACAGACGACCACCCACCTAGAGCCGGAGGATCTGTCCTATATACTGTTGTTTTGTTGAATTGAATTGAATTAATACACTGTAATATACACACTGTAATACACACTGTAATACATTGTGTAATACACACACTGTAACACACACACACACACAAATGTGTTCTCATTAATCATGTGTCTCTTTGTCCGTCTCCCAGGAGCCATCTTGGATTTGGTTGTCATGGAAACCTGCCCTTCCACAGTGCTGGAGTTGGGGACGTACTGTGGTTACTCAACTGTCCGCATCACCAGGTTGTTGCCCCCGGCAACAAAGCTAATTACCGTAGAGATGAACCCTGAGTATGCTCATGTGGCGCGACAGGTCATCCAACATGCAGGATTGCAGGACAAGGTCAGGGGTCACCACCTGCAGCAGGGTCAGAGGTCATAGGTCACAACCTGCAGCTGGGTCAGTGGTCATAGGTCACAACCTGTAGCAGGGTCACAGGTCACAACTTGCAGTAGGGTCAGAGGTAAAAGAAGAGACTGTGTAATCCCAGATACGGGGTCCACTGGGGTTCCAGAATAAATGCTGTCTGGAGAGAGGTTTCTGAGGGCCTCTGGCCTTGAACGCCTGCTCTGCTGACTATGGTTAGCTCTACTGTGCTTGTTGGTATCCAAACATCACCGGGAACCACTGAGACCAGCTGGGCTGTTCAAGTGCTATCATCTCCGACATCTTCTGAACACACTGGTTAGACCTTTTACTTTGTGGCTGTCACAGTTCCAGACATCCACTCGCTTCCTTCCTCCTCAGATACAGGGTCCGAAATTAAGTTCCTAGTTCATCTCACGCTGGCAGTAAACTCAGAAATTGTTCTAGTCAACAATATTTTTACCGGATGAAAAACTGCATCATGCACTATTTGATTAAAAATAGTTACATTATAATTTAAAGTTTTGAGGCTTTCTGATCCTTTAGAGTTTCATACATTATCCAGTATCTCTTTCTCACCACCTCTCACAAAAACGTCGACTGCTGTGACTTTTCTTTTCTTCTTCACGTTTTATTTTTGGTGGCTGAATACCATGAATATATTAACACGTCTCTAATAACGTGACACATTTGGTGCTCAGTGGGATTACATTTTGGATCCTGGTCAAATATCTGACACTAAAGCTGATGCTGTGAAGGAACAAACTTCTAATTCAATTCAAATATCTTATTTGTAGACCTTACTCCTGGTTTGTACTTATTGAATGGTTATTGATCGCTAATGTCACTCTGTTAGGTGTGTGTGCTGGAAGGTGAGTCAGCTGACCTGATTCCCAAGATGGCCAACATGTTTGGAATCCAGGCATTTGACTTTGTTTTCCTGGACCACTGGAAGGATCACTACCTGCCTGACATCAGACTGCTGGAGGTACTGACCACTGACCTTTGACCCCTAACCTCTGAAATTACCATATGTTCTGACCTTTAACCCCAATCCCCCTGCAGGACTGCGGCCTGCTGGCTCAGGGCTCAGTGGTCCTGGCTGACAACGTGGTCTGCCCCGGAGCTCCAGACTACCTGAACTACGTCAGATACAACCTGAAGTACAGCAGCAGGTTCTACCAGGCTCACCTGGAGTACACCAGAGTCCTCGACGGACTGGAGAGGTCTGAGTACCAGGGAGACTGATCCGGACTGAACACCTGAATCATCACACCAGGACCAGGTTTACAGGGTCACGGTGTGTCTGTTTTATGTTTTTGGCGGACAGGTCTAAATACTACAATACCCATGAGCCTCAGCGACAGCTGCCCTGGAGAAGAGGTGTAAGTCAGAGTGGTAGATAATTCCAAACGCTTTACGTTGTTACTGAAACACATTACCATGCTAACTGAATTCAAAGGGACACTGAAGCTGCAGGTTGTTCCTTTAGCTTCCACCTGCTGTGATTGGGTGTTCAACTGCTGTTGTAATGTCGTCAGCTTGTCAATCAATAGGTTTGGTGTTGTAGTTTTCTAACCATGTTGTAAACATTGTCCTCTAAATGTGTAAAATGTATTTAATGAACTCTTTTATTAATTCATTATGCACTTCCTGTTTCCTGTCCTGATCTTTATTAAAACAAACACACCTATCACCTGCACGGTGGGAAGCCGGTGAGAAGTTGTTCATTGATTGATCAGCTGATCTGATAGGAGATAAAGATATACATATACATAAACAGAGCTGCTCTACTATAATATTAATGATCAATAGCTTTATTAATACAGTTGATTGGACACAGACTACCTGCAGCTTTATTCAGATTATTTTATTCCAGATGCCAGTTATAGATCACTTTATTATTATCATAAACTAATAATACATCATCCTGATGTCTGGATGCTATAGAGGTTCAGATCAATGAAGAGCCAATAGTTCAGTCTGCAGGTCAGAATTAAGGATTAAAGAATTAAAAAACAACTACCCTGATTGGTTATTTGTTACACAGCTTCACAATTTTGTTGTTGTTGTTTACTTGCAGTTCATTACAACAGGTTCATTCATTTAACCACAGACACCTCAGGAATAAAAATATATTATTTATCTGTCGGTGTATCAGGTGTTTTTATTCCTCCACACTGGCTGTAGTACAGAGACAGACAGGTACAGAGACAGACAAGTGGGGGAGGTAATCACAGAAGAAAACGGATAAAAAACAGCTGGACTCAAAGTCTGTCAGGAATAAAGATTTATTTACATTTTATACAGAAATAAAAAGATGTGATGACATCAAAACCACCTGTACAGGTGAATGATGTCAGATACTGTTGGACAAGGTCAAAGGTCAGGCCACTAAACAGTTAAATTATCTTAATTACAACAGTCTTAACGAGCTCATTGACCTGGGTATAGAGTTTCATGGAAAGTGCCACAGCCAATCAGATGCCTCCCTGCTGTAACTCTGATTGGTTGGAGTTGAAAATCTTGGCCAGCAGAGAGACGTTTGATTGGCTGTTCTGTTGGAGGAGGCGGGCCTTGTCCAGGTGCTTCTGGGAAATGGAGTGTCTCCTCTTTTTCTTCAACTGGATCTCATCCTCCGTCTGACGCTGAGTGAAGTCCCACGTCCTCTCGTCCACCTGGCAACCACAAATCAAGTTTAACCGTCATTACAGAGACTGCAGTGAGGCTGCAGGTAGACCCAGGTGAGTTAGAGTTTACCTGTTGTCCGTCTCTCTGTCTCTTCCTCCTCACTTTGTCCAGGTGAGTGCTCTTGTCCACATTGTTCAAGTAGAAGTTTGTTTCTCTCTTCGCCTGAGACACTTCGGTCCTTAGTCTCTGCTGCAGCACTGTCTGCTCGTAGGCCAGACGCTCGCTCAGGTGAGTCCACTGGAACCTGTGCAGGTACTACAGACAGGTAAAGAGACAGACAGGTGATCTGGTCTTACAGTTTGTCAGACTGAAACCAAGTGACTGCAATGCCACAGTGATGTTAGCCGTAAGTGGGTACCTTGATGTTCCAGAGGTCAGAGTAGAAGCGTTGTCGTTTCCTGGTTCCCATCGGCGTGTTGTGGAGAGAAGCTGCAACTCTCTTGGCCACTCGTTTGTCTCTGAACTCAACCCATCCTTCAGTGAAATCACACCTCCTCAACCCCGTCTTCCTCTTCCTCCTCCTCACCTCCCCGTCTGACCACACAGGACACAATAATTACTACAACTCCCAGGGGGCATTTCACTAAACCTCTGACTGTCTTCTTTTTAATAGCAATGGCAGCTGAGGATCTTGGGTATTGTAGTATTTATAGAAACGTAATTCAGAATACACAAGACGTTCAGGAGATAGGATTAATCAGTCTATGATATTTATAGATAGATAATATATCTTAGGGTATATTATGATATGTATTGATCATATAAAAATGTACATTGTTCATATTGATCATGTCCTCTGTGTGTCTGATTTTACCTTCTGGCTGGAGGAAGATGCGTCCGATCTCTCCGAACGCTGACAGCATGTTCCTTAGATGTTTGGGGCGGAGTCTTGGAGGAATGTGACCCAGGTAGATTATACCTGGAAGACGCTTCCTGTCTGGACAGGAAGTCACTCCAACACCTTTCTGTTTGGTCTTCTTCTTCCCAGAAGCATATTCATTTTCATCATTATCTTCATCCCCTCCTCTCCCTGCAGTGGCAGCGGCTTCCTCTTCCTTCTCTTCATCCTCCTCTCTCTGAGATGTAGTCTTACTCTCCTCCTCCTCCTCTTTTCTCTCCATCTCTCTGCAGACTGATGACTGCAACAGCAAAACAGTAAAAACAACAACATGAACACATGAACAGATTGATTCTGATAAGAGTTTGTGGACACCAGCAACATAATCAATAATCAAACAACGGCATCATTGATTACAGTTCAGAATATACCGTCCCTGCTATACGTTAATATACCATTACTGCTATACGGTAATATACCGTCCCTGCTATACATTAATATACCGTCCCTGCTATACATTAATATACCGTCCCTGCTATACGGTAATATACCGTCCCTGCTATACATTAATATACCGTCCCTGCTATACATTAATATACCGTCCCTGCTATACGGTAATATACCGTCCCTGCTATACGGTAATATACCGTCCCTGCTATACATTAATATACCGTCCCTGCTATACATTAATATACCGTCCCTTATGTAATATACCGTCACTGCTATACGGTAATATACCGTCCCTGCTATACATTAATATACCGTCACTGCTATACGTTAATATACCGTCCCTGCTATACATTAATATACCGTCACTGCTATACGGTAATATACCGTCACTGCTATACGTTAATATACCGTCCCTGCTATACGGTAATATACCGTCCCTGCTATACATTAATATACCGTCCCTGCTATACGTTAATATACCGACACTGCTATACATTAATGTACCGTCACTGCTATACGTTAATATACCGTCACTGCTATACATTAATGTACTCTTTACTAAGCATGTTTCCTCTGATAATCTGATTAATAATCAATAATCTGATAATTCATAAGTGTGAGATCAGCACACACAGAGTTGGACATCAATAACATCATGTCAGGACCTGGTGGTGCAGCAAGAGGCCCCCCCTCCCTAGTTGCTATTAGGGGAGAGGGTAGAGACTCAACAATAAACTGGACTGGACGGACACTGAGACCCTCTACAGGAAAGGACAGAGCAGGCTGTTCTTTCTGAGGAGGCTCAGGTCCTTCAACATCTGCACTCAGCTACTGCAGATGTTCTATCAGTCTGTAGTGGCCAGGGTCATCTTCTGTGCTGAGGGAAGCTGAAAGCCATCATGGACAACCCCTCTCATCCTCTCTACACTGAGCTCAGGCAGCTCAGGAGCTTTCAGCCACAGACTGATCCAGAACCAACCCTTAAAGCAGTTTGGAGGCTCGTTTGTACCATCAACCATCACAGTCCACAGCCACAGCACCTCCAACCTCCACAACCACAGCTCCCAGTACCTCCACAACCACAGCACCCAGTACCTCCACAACCACAGCACCCAGTACCTCCACAGCCACAGCATCCAGTACCTCCACAACCACAGCTCCCAGTACCTCCACAACCACAGCACCCAGTACCTCCACAACCACAGCTCCCAGTACCTCCACAACCACAGCTCCCAGTACCTCCACAACCACAGCTCCCAGTACCTCCAACCTCCACTACCACAGCACCCAGTACCTCCACAACCACAGCTCCCAGTACCTCCACAACCACAGCACCCACAGCTCCCAGTACCTCCACAACCACAGCACCCAGTACCTCCACAACCACAGCACCCAGTACCTCCCACCCAGCACCCAGTACCTCCACACCCGCACCCGTACCTCCACAACCACAGCACCCAGTACCTCCACAACCACAGCTCCCAGTACCTCCACAACCACAGCTCCCAGTACCTCCAACCTCTGCTGACTAACACCGGTTTTAACTTCAACCAAACATCTTGCACAAACTATTTATCTTTAATCTTTAAGTTGCACTAGAGTTTATTAATATTTGTACACGGTTTTACTGCGTATTGTATAAAGTGTGTATATATTAGATTTTATATATTGTACTCTTTGTACTCGTTGCTCTACATTCTCCTCTGCTGCTGTGTGTGACTTGAATTTCTCCTACAGGGGATCAATAAAGATACATCTTATCTCTTATCGAGTAGATATTAATAGAATCACTTCCGGCTTTGATTCTTTCACATTAAAACCTTTTCAAGAAAGTAATTTCAGATTAAATGTAAATAAACTCTCACCTTTAAAGTCTGCACAAAGTGCTGCTGCTCGCTCTCACGTGTGAACAAACTCTGTCGCGTCTTGGTGACGTCACGGAGCGTCCGGCTAAAAGATCAGCTGATATACAACTTCCGGTTTTACTGTCAAAATAAGAGTTTGGGGGTTCAGACTGCTAATGAGTTTATTTCAGTTGTGACCAGTAATTAATTTTACGTTTTCGGCTTATTTGCCTTGTATAGTTTCTGTTTTATTCCATTTATAGTTTTACTTTACACAAATTTAAAGAATCTATTTAAGTTTGAGGCCAGTCTGCCCCAGCAGGAGGCACTGCAGGCTGTGAAGTGTTTATTTATTTATTCATTCATATATTTATTCTGCTGTAATCCTGAATTTCTCCTCTGATTGATCAATAAATTCAGAGTACATAATAAAAGATTTTTACATGAATCACAACTTGTCTTGTTTGTTTTTTACAACCGCTCTTACTTTGAAAGTTCACACCGGAGTTGACGCTTTTGTGAAAAGAAAGGCATGCTGGGATAGCTGTGACGGCGGTGTGTTTTGAAGCTAACGTTAGCAGCGAAGATGCAAAGACCAGTTTACAGTCTAGATCTGAGTCCCGGTCTGAGACTCAAACTGGTCCGTGCTGGATTCCGGTTCACGGCAGACCTCCTGGACCTCCAACCGGCGCAGCTCAACGCGGGTACCGGTTATATCCTCCAACCAAACTCCATTCAAAATACTGACGATTTTAGCTCTATGGGTTCAACGCTGCTCCTCTGTTATTAATCAATATTATTGATTATTTTTATTGATTGTGTCAGTTTTAATAAGATTTTAATCTCATTATTCTTCTGATTCACACACATCTGCAGTTTAACCCTCGTCAAATAATAATAGTTATTATATTTCTGTTTATATTTCTATGTATATTTATTAGTTATAGTTATTGTACTTATTTATGGTTTTTGTGTATATTTCTATTTGTTTTATATTATATGAATGACAAAAGAAAGAGAATCATTTATTTTTTAATAATAAACTATATAGCACAGAACACCTCTTAATATGAACTAAATCATAACTTTTTAGTTCTCACCAAACTCCATAAAAAAAAAAACAGGTTTTACTGTCCCGACTTAATAGAGAATCACATTATTCTTCTGATTGTCACATTTTTATTATTACACAGATTAAAGCTCCAGTATGTACGTTACTATATATATATATATATATATATATATATAATACAATATAATATAATGTTATATAATATAATATACTGTATAATGTCTCTCCGGGAACTATCACCTTACCGTGGTGGAGAGGTTTGGGTGCTTCTATGAACCCGAGAGCTGTGTTGTCGGGAGCAATATGCTCCTTGTAGGGTCTCCCAAGGCAAAGTGGTCTCAGGTGAGGGGCCAGACTAAGAATGGTTCACAGAAGCCCCAATGAAAGTATGTGGAAGATGTCAAGGGGTCAGGGAAGCCATCCGACTGAAGAAGGAGGACTTCCGGGATATGTTATCCCGGGGGACTCCCAAGGCAGTTGCAGGGTACCGACAGGCCCGAAGGACTGCAACCACAGCTGTGAGGGAAGCAAAACAGCGGGTGTGGGAGGAGTTCGGAGAAGTCATGGAGAAGGACTTTCAGATGGCACTAGTGTTGCACGGTGCACCGATACTTCAAAAGTATCGCGATTCTCGGAAATTAAAAACGCCACGATTCCTAAATGTAATAGTATCGATACTTTTAAGAATGACCGCGTTCCAGATTTGTAACAGACTTTTTTCATGTTGATGTGTCCAATGCATGCTTCCAGTGCCTCCCTATGGACGTCTGTGTTTTTTCTCCTCACGCACGCAGCAAAGAAGCTGCAGCTGTCATGTGACAAACACTGTAACGAGATCGCTGCATGTGCGAGCACAATGATACTGTGGCCGCCGGTCCTTGACTGGTAGAAAAAGATGACGCGAGGAGTGAAATATGGAAGTACTTTGCCTACCTTGCTGACAGCAAAGCTACCGATAAGTCGAGACCTGTTTGTCATCAGTGCTAACGTTACAAACGAATGTAAACAAAGGGAGCAAACACCTCCAACCTGGAGAAACATTCGGCCGACAAGCACGCCAAGTTGTACGAGGAGTTTAAAGACCGACAGTTAGTATGTGAAAGATAACACGACCACGTTCATGCCCTTAAATAAGTCAGATGAGTAGGCTATGGTTTATTTTGCACCACCGTAGTTTGACGAGGCTATCTAGAGAAATAGTAGGCTAACTATGGGCATTATCCTCATGGCTAACCAATAGCCTGCCTACGGCTAATTCAACATCTCTGAAAACGCAACTTTCACAGATAACGTTAATAATTTGCAAGCTGCTAAAATAAAGCACACAAAACATCAGCTAAAATGATCTATAGGCTATATGATTATAATCAGAACATGTGCATGTTTGTCAGTGATTTATTTATATTAGGTTATTACAGCATTTAAAGAGCACAGACCTACGCAAAGGAGGTGTATTTCTGAAAGGCCTTGTAAGAAATTATGGACTCAAATATAAAGTTAACCGTCAAAGAAATCAGACGTTGAAGTACAGGAAACATTAGCCCATATATCACAGCTTAAATAACATTAGGTTAACTCATTATTTCCTATTATTAATTATGGTAATGTTATGGTTAAGTAAATGTTGGCAGTTATCACTATAACCACTGCATATAGAGATGCTAAGTTAGTCACAAGTTATTGTTATTATCACACATAAACTATTTAGGTCCTCTGCTATGACAAATTTATCACCATCATATTTTAAATATTTCCATTTTCTTCTGCTACAGAAAAGTATCGAAAAAGTATCGAAATCGCAATTCTTGACTTGGTATCGGTATCAAAACAATAATTTTGGTATCGTGACAACACTAGACGGCACCCAGGTGCTTCTGGAAAACCGTCCGACACCTCAGGAGGGGGAAGCGGGGAACCATTCAAGCTGTGTACAGCGGGGATGGGACACTGCTGACCTCAACTTAGGAGGTAATTGGGCGGTGGAAGGAACACTTTGGGGAACTCCTGAACTGGACTAGACCAACAAACCCGCCCTCTGTGATAGAGGCAGGGCTGGAGTGTGATGGGGGATCTGCGTCAATTTCCATGCGGGAGGTCACTGAGGTAGTCAAACAACTCCACAGTGGCAAAGGCCCAGGGATTGATGAGATTCGCCCAGAAATGCTGAAGGCTCTGGGTGTTGAGGGGCTGTCTTGGTTGACACGCCTTTTCAACATTGCGTGGAAGTCAGGGACAGCGCCAAAGGAGTGGTGGACTGGGGTGGTGGTTCCCCTATTTAAAAAGGGGGACCAGAGGGTGTGTGCAAACTACAGAGGCATCACACTACTCAGCCTCCCTGGGAAAGTTTACTCTAAGGTGCTGGAAAGGAGGGTCCAGTTGATTGTTGAACCTTTGATTAAAGAGGAACAGTGTGGGTTCTGTCCTGGTCGTGGAACAACAGACCAACTCTTCACTCTCGCAGGTCTTGGAAGGGGCCTGGGAATATGCTCATCCGGTCTACATGTGCTTGTGGATTAGGAGAAGGCATATGACCGGGTTCCCCAGGATATCCTGTGGGAAGTTCTGCGGGAGTATGGGGTGAGGGGGTCACTTCTGGATTTCCAAAGCGAGAGTTGTGTCCAGAATCTTGGTAAGTCGGACTCGTTTCCAGTGGGAGTTGGCCTCCACCAGGGCTGCGCTTTGTCACCAATCCTGTTTTTGACTTTCACAGACAGGATATCGAGGCGTAGTCGTGGGGGGGAGGGGTTGCAGTTTGGTGGGCTGAGGATTGCATCGTTGCTTTTTGCGGCTGATGTGGTCCTGATGGCATCATCGACCTGTGACCTTCAGCACTCACTGGATCGGTTAGCAGCTGAATGTCAAGCAGCTGGGATGAGGATCAGCACCTCTAAATCTAAAGGCCATGGTTCTCAGCAGGAAACCGGTGGATTGTCTACTTCGGGTAGGGAGTGAGTCCTTACCCCAAGTGAAGGAGTTCAAGTACCTCAGGGTTTTGTTCACGAGTGAGGGTAGAATGGAGCAGGAAATTGGCCGGAGAATCGGGGCAGCAGGGGCAGTATTGCGGTCCCTTTATTAAACAGTTGTCACAAAAAGAGAGTTGAGCCGAAAGGCGAAGCTCTTGATCTACCGGTCGATCTTTGTTTCTACCCTCACCTATGGTCATGAAAGATGGGTCATGACCGAAAGAACAAGATTGTGGGTGCAAGCGGCCAAAATGGGTTTCCTCAGAAGGGTTGCTGGCATCTCCCTTAGGGTTGGGGGGGGAGCTCGGTCATCCGCGAGGGACTCGGAGTAGCTGAGGTTCGGGCATCTGGTGAGGATGCCTCCAGGGCGCCTCCCAAGGGAGGTGTTCCTGGCACGTCCAGCTGGGAGGAGGCCACGGGGCAGACCGAGGACCAGGTGGAGGGATTATATCTCAACACTGGCCTGGGAACGCCTCAGGATCCCCCAGTCAGAGTTGGCCGATGTGGCCAGGGAAGATGAAGTTTGGGGTCCTCTGCTGGACTTGCTACCCCCGCGACCCGAAACTGGATAAGCGGATGAAGATGAGATGAGAGATGAGATTAGATGTAATATAATATAATATAATGTAATATAATATAATGTTATAATATTATACAATATAATACAATATAATGTTATATATTATAATGTAATATAATATAATGTCACATTAATATAATATCTATAGGTATGTTTTCATTAGTGTAAATCAGCTGATAATAAGAATCATTGTGTGTTTGTTACCTTACAATAAGACTCTTGTATCTACAAAGGGAGCGGGTCGTCTTCTGGCAGAGTCCACCCTGTTGAACTGCCATGTTTCTACGGTTGCCCAGAACGGACAAACCAAACACTGGATCTAGATAGAGATTGTACTGTAGTTCATCTACTGACTGTTATCATTCAGGTTGTCAGATACAGACACGAGAGGTGTTCAGTTAGTTGCAATCTGAAACTTCTACCACTACATAGCACTAACTCCTACACACTGGTCTACAGTGTGACTCTGGTTCTGGTCTGCAGTGTTGCTCTGGTTGTGGTCTACAGACTGGTACTGGTTCATTGTGGATCAGGTCAGATATGTTGTGTTGCAGAGGCCGGTCTGTCCCAGCAGGAGGCGCTGGAGGTTCTGCAGTCAGTGCGGAGTGAACGAGGAGGTGATGAAGGAGGGTCTCTGACGGCTCTGGAGCTCCTGCAGAAGGAGGAAGAGGATCTGAGGAACATCGTGACCTTCTGCTCTCAGCTGGACTCGATTCTGGGAGGAGGACTTCCTGTTGGCAAAACCACAGAAATCTGTGGAGCTCCGGGAGTCGGAAAAACACAACTGTGGTAACACACACACTGTAACATGCACACACACACTGTAACACACACACACACACACACACACACAATAAAGTTATTGATGACCTCTTCCTTTCAGTCTGCAGCTGGCGGTGGATGTTCAGGTCCCTCAGTGCTTCGGCGGGGTCGGAGGTCAGGTGATCTACATCGACACTGAAGGTGGCTTCATGCTTCAGAGGGTTGTCGACATCGCTGCCGCGGCTGTCCGGCACTGCTCCCTATTGGTCGAAGACGATGAACAGCGGGTCGCCATGGAGACCTTCACTATGGAAACCATACTGTCTAACATGTTTCTGGTAATGACGGCTGGTCGTCATGGCAACAGACAGTGGTGTCATAGCGCAGCAGCAGGTTATAATGATTCTGATTGATTCTGTCTCACCTCTCTCAGGTGCGTTGCCATGACTACGTGGAGCTGCTGGCCGAGCTCCACCTGCTGCCGGACTTCCTGTCTGAGCACCCGAGTGTTCGCCTCCTGGTGATTGACAGCGTGGCGTTTCCATTCCGGCGGCACTTTGATGAACTGTCGCAGAGGACACGGCTCCTCAACGGCCTCGCCCAGCAACTTATCACCATGGCAACCAGCCGTGAAATAGCGGTGGTGATAACCAATCAGATGACCACCCAGCTGCGGGGAAGCCAATCACAGCTGGTCCCCGCTCTCGGGGAGAATTGGGGCCACGCCCCCACCACCAGGCTCCTCCTGTACTGGGCAGGGCCGCAGCGGCTGGCCGCTATCTTTAAATCTGCAGGTCACATGGACTCCACCGTCCAATACCAGATCACCTCTGAAGGATTCAGAGACGCTGACCAATCAGAGCAGCCGCAGAGAAAACGCCCCCGAACACACAGCATCCAATCAGCTGCCAGCCAGAGAGACAGCAGCTGCTGATTGGTCGATTGAGGTTGTTTATGAACTCTCTTCGGATTGGTCAGAGCCCATCAGCCAATCAGAGGCTATTTGTTCAGTTTGTGTCCAGCAGGTGGAGAACAGCTAATTCAGTCTGTAGTTGTGTAGGAACAGCTGATGTGTTCATAAATATAAACTGAATTCAGCCTGGTCCTGGTCCTGGTGCTGATCCTGGTCCTGATCCTGGTCCGGATCTTGGTCCTGGTCCTGATCCTGGTGCTGATCTTGGTACTGATCCTGGTCCAGGTCCTGGTTCAGGTGCTGGTCCTGGTCCTAGTCCTAATCCTGGTCCTGGTCCTAATCCTGGTCCTGGTGCTGATCCTGGTCCTGGTGCTGATCCTGGTTCTTGTGGTTGTCATTATTATTATATTATTATTATTATTATTATTATTATTATTGTAAGACCAGGTGTAAATGTCATAGATTATAACAATCGTATTAAACGATAAACATACACTGTGTGGAAGGTCTGTTTATCTTTGTTAATGAATGAACGTTAATAAAACCTGGTGAATATTTACAGGATGCTGTTTACACAGAAACAGATGTTGTTTTCTACACACAGACTGCTTTTGTTTATGTTTGTGTGAAGATGAAAGTGAGTTTAAACATCAGGAGGTAAACACTGAACACCTGTCTGACACGCAGCACACAGACAGGTACACACCATGATCAGCAGAGGGCGCTGAGATCTCACACACACACACACACACAGCAACATGTTTTAATTAGAGAGAGAGACAGAGACACTCAGATAGAGAGACAGACAGAAAGAGAGAGAGAGACACTCAGTCAGAGAGAGAGAACAATTGTTTGACAATGAACTTTTCTCAGAAATCTGTCAAACAAACTCAATGACCCTGAAAACCAAACCTTACATCATAAATCTCACACAAACAATACAAGAACATGATCAATCAAAAGAAGGCTCAATACACACATAATTAACCAAAATTGAAAAGACTATAGACCAAAACTCTCTTTGGAGCCTGTGGAAAAGATGTAATTCAGCCAAATATGAAGATAACATTGTAATACAGAATATTTGGATATAATACATCAGATGAAGAATACTGTGGTATCGGACTGGAAGCTATATACGAACTGGCTTTATACCCAAACTCAGAACAACTGATCACATATTTACTCTCCAACACCAAAAACATAAAGAAACAATATCTGATTGTTTTGTTGATTTCCAGAATGGGACTGGAGGTCCACTTTACGCCCTGATTAAATGTAAATACTCAGAAAATGAGTTTGCTGTAAAACAAACAGTGTCAATATATACACTGAGCAGTTATCTTAACTTCCTGAACTCTCTGAAACCCCAGGAAGGAAACATACTCTATGATTACTGTGGAAACTGGGCCATCACAGTTAATCTAGAAAAAACTAAAATTATGAAAGGGAAAAAAAAAAAGCAAGATCCCAAACTAAAAACTTATTTTGGGAGACAACACTGAGTCATAAAGTGGAGTATATATACCTCGGCTTCAGGACATTGTACTAAGGCTGTAAGTGCATTGGCAGATAAACCTTGTGGATCTTATTACAGTAAACAACCTTCATATTTAAATTAAACCTCCAAATAAAGATTAGGCTTAAAATGTTCCAAAAGGTTGGGCGCCCAGTTAGCTCAGTGGGTAGAGCTGGCGACCCATGTACGAATCCAGGGTTCCAGTCTGACCTGCGGCCCTTTGCTGCGTGTCGTCCCCTCTCTCTGCCCCCCTTTCCTGTCTGTCTTCAGCTGTCACTATCATTAAAGCCCAAAATGTTATTGAACCACAGTGATGGAAATAATCCGTACTCACTATAAAACAGACAAAGACTATAAACTCAGATATTTCAGAAATCAATCAATAAACTAAAATGCTTTAATGAACGAGACAGAGAATTTATATTAGCTCCATATTGAACAAAAATAAAACCTATAAAGAGACAAACCATATACACACTCAGTGGAAACAACAGACAGTAGAACTGGTATGAGAATATATTATATTATATTATATTATATTATATTATATTATATACAGTTGCAATCAGAAATATTCAAACCCCCACAAGATTTTAAGGACTTATCAATTAAAGATTTTTCAAAGAGTAACATTCTGCTTCGGATGACTTCTTTATGAGTTCAGTGTTACATAAAATCAACACAGAAAATGCATGATGTAGTATTTGTGTGTAAGAGTATATTTTGTTAAGATAGCCATGTCACAGTTATTCAACCCCTGTATGATTTTGCTGTTTTTAAAGCTGTCTTACAGCTTTTATGGCCTAAAGTGGAGTTGAAACATAATTAAGCCTTTGGGAACTCTATAATGATCCTTAATTTGCTTCAGCTGTGATGCATTTATAAACCCCACCCATTAAGGAATTGAAGATGAGTTGCAAAGACAAATAGGCTTCCACAAAGCTGAGGAAGGAGATTCTTTCATCACACCTGAAGGACCCTGGGTATAAGAAGATTTCCAAATAATTTAATATTCCAAGAGACACCATTGGGAGCTTTATAAGGAAGTTTAAAACTGCTGCAAACCTACCTGGCTGTGGAAGAAAGTCCAACATTTCATGACGGGCCCTTAGCAACTTAGTCAGAACAACTAAGAAAAACCCCTGTGTGACTGCAAGACACCTACAGGATGACCTGATGATGGCTGGTACAAGTGCTTCAGTGGCAACTATAAGACATTCAATTCAATTCAATTTAATTTTATTTGTATAGCGCCAATTCATAACAAAAGTTATCTCAGGACACTTTTCAAATAGAGCAGGTCTAGACCGAACTCCTTATAACATTTACAGAGACCCAACAGTACCACCATGAGCAAGCACTTGGTGCCGGGGGCAAGGAAAAACTGCCTGTTAAAAAGCAGAAACCTAGGACAGACCTTTCGGCTCTAGGTGGGTGGTTGCTGCCTCGACCAGTTGGGGTGAGAGAGAGAGAGAGAGGGAGAGAGAGAGGGAGACATGCACTGAATAAACAATGACTTCATGGCCGGACTCCAAGACCCACTTCATTCTTGACCACATGGAACATCAAAAGTCAACTAGAATATGCCAAACTGGAACTGTTTGGACTTATGGACCAGCGGTATGTCTGGAGAACAAGATCCTGGAACGTCCTGGAGTGACCTTCTCAGTCACCAGATTTAAATCTGATTGAAAATCTTTGGTGGGAATTAAAGAAGACAGCTGCAGCACGGAAGCCATCAAACAGAGAGAGACAGAGACAGACAGAGAGAGAGAGAGAGACAGACACAGAGAGAGAGAGAGAGAACGACCAAAAGTAAATTACAATGTTATCTGACCCTAAAAAGAGAATTCAAACTGGCAAATTACCTGAGCACAATAAAATGTCCTAATCTAAGAAAAATGTTGACAACATACAGACTGAGTGAACACAGCCTGGCCATAGAAAAGGGTCGCCACAGACAGAACTGGCTACCAGAAGAGGAGAGACTCTGCTCCCAGTGTGACAGAGGACAGGTAGAGACAGAGCTGCATTTTCCAACCTCATGCCCTAAATATAAAACCTTAAGAGAAAAACAATTTGCAAACATTTCCCAAATATACCCTGAATTTGAATTTATATCACACACACAGAAACTCCCCTATTTACTGGGAAAAATGCCCAAAAGTCCAATTATTGCAGCAAAATATGTCTCCTCATGCCACGAACTGAGGACGACCAGTGGAAACTCTAACTAAACTAATATATATATGTATATATATTTTATTTTCATTTTCTAACACACACACACGCTTACTATTTTATTTATTTATTTAATATAGTATATTATTTTCATTTTCTAATCATCCAATCATCAATTCATTGTAATTAATTACTTATTGACTGAGATTGATTGATTGTGATTGTGATTGAGTCAATCATAGTTATAGTATTACCAACAGTATAGATTATAATTAATTTATTATAAATATTGTTTTCCTTTCTTGTTATTATTATCATTTTTAATTCCAAACGCTTGCAAGTATTGTACAGTGTTACGTCATGCCAATAAAGCCATTTGAATTGAATTGAATTGAATTGAGAGAGAGAGAGAGAGAGAGAGAGAGAGAGAGACAGACAGACAGACACACAGAGTCACAGAAAGAGAGAGAAGGAGAGAGAGAGACAGAGACAGACAGAGAGAGAGAGTGAGAGAGACTCACAGAGAGAGAGAGAGAGAGAGAGAGAGACTCACAGAGAGAGAGAGCGAGAGGGAGGTGGTCTTTGTCCTCCTCTCACTGGAGGAGCAGCAGGAGGTAAACTGGAGCTTCACAGCTGACGGACTCACCGGGACCAGCGGAGACTTTACGGGAGCAGATTGGCAGCTCTGAGCAGGTTCAGGACTGATGTCAGACCAGGAGGAGAGGGGATCCGGCTCCAGTAGGTCCTGATTCTGGATCAAAGCAGGTGATAAACCAGTTTAAACAGCAAGTGTTTCCCAGCAGGACCAGTGAATGAAACCAGTAACATTGGATTCTACACTGGTCTGAATGTTGATATTATAACTTTACTGATTATTGGGGGAGAGTAGGGTCAGTTAATACACTGTTTAGTGTCTGTTATTTCTGATCAATATGTTTAATGTCCAAACAATTAAGGTTCTATAGATCAATATATTTGATGTCCAAACAATTAAGGTTCTATAGATCAATATGTTTGATGTCCAAACAATGAAAGATTCTATAGATCAATATGTTTAATAAGCTGCAGTTCAATGTCAAATTTAACTGGAATATTTGCATTTCATGAAAAAAATGAATGTGATTGCTGAACCTGCTGCCACTGCTGCCTGCTGGCAAAGTTTATAGAAGAGACCCAGCAAGAAGTGCTTGGGGTTCACATCACATCATCCACCACCCAAAATATATATATTTTTTTACCGCTGCCAGGTGTCTACAGCACTGACCTCTGCCCTGTATTTACAGCACTGCCTTATGCCCTGTTTGTACAGCACTGACCCGTTACTTAGTTATTATTGTCGTATGGACTATATTTGTAAACAGTCTCTGAAAGTCAGTTGGTGTCCAACCCATTATTGGACTACTGTATTAGTCAAACAGACAGTGCAGGGCTTTGATTTGTATCTAATTCAATTCAATTTATTGTCCTCCAAGGGGGAAATTCATGTCCAGATCACTGCACCTGCAGGCAACACCATACACTCAACGAAGAAACACGCTATCCACAATTAACAAATCTACAGAAAAAAACAAAACAAAAACAAAAAACAAACAATCAAATAAATAATGTGCCCCTTTGTTTAAAGCAGCAATAGCTGCAGGGATCAGGCTTTTCCCATAGCAAGCTTTCTACCTCAGCCCAGAAGGCAGTGGGTGAGATATTGATTGAGTGGGTGTGTAATGTCCAGTTCTATTGTGGTTGCAATGCGTGAGATAGCCCTGTTGTTTAGTTCTGTGAGATTGGGAGTGGGGAGTCCGATTATCTTGGCCACTGTGTTTGTGATGCATATGAATTTTGTCTGGTTGGTGACAGTTAGCATGTTGTAGAAACAGGAGGAGCAGTATATGAGGATGGGCTGGATGATACTTTGATATAGTAGTAGGAGATGATGGGGGAAACATAAAGTCCTTTGAGTTTATGGATGACAGATAGTCTTTGCTGGCTCCTTTTGAAGATGTCAGTGGTGTGTTGGTTGAAACTAAGTTTATTGTCCAGCGTTACTCCAAGGTATTTAAAACTGTCAACCATTTCAACTGTGTGGTTATTAAAGCACTGAGGTCTGACCTGTATACAGTATTGACCTATGTCCCATATCTTTTCTGGTGTCTGTAACTTATTATTATTGTGGAGCTGTTGTTGGTAGATTTGTATGAATAATTACAGAGACCCAACAGTACCACCATGAGCAAGCACTTGGCGACAAGGGCAAGGAAAAACTGCCTGTTAAAAGGCAGAAACCTAGGACAGATCCTCCGGCTCTAGGTGGGTGGTCGTCTGTCTCGACCAGTTGGGGTGAGAGAGAGAGAGAGACAGAGAGAGAGAGAGAGCGAAAGACAGACAGGTGCACAGCAACAACAGTATTGGCAATGGCAATCTAGCAGGACCATGGCAGGAGGCTCCACCAGGATCGATAAGAACCTGCGAGACGAGAAAGCACAAGAACTCCGGGGAAGAAGTGAAGTTAGTAACATGCATTAATGGAACATGAATGAGTGCAGAAAGAGAGAGGAAGGGAGGAGCTCAGTGCACCATGGGAAATCCCCAGATAGTCTAGGCCTATAGCAGCATAACTAAGGGATGGTTCAGGACTCACCTGATCCAGCCCTAACTATAAGCTTTATCAAAGAGGAATGTCTTAAGCCTACTCTTGAATGTGATGAGGGTGTCTGCCTCCCGAACCACAACTGGAAGCTGGTTCCACAGGAGAGGAGCTTGGTAACTGAAGGCTCTGGCTCCTGTTCTACTTTTAGAGACTATAGGAACCACAAGTAGCCCAGCATTCAGAGAACGTAGTGTTCTAGTGGGGTAATAGGGTACTATGAGCTCTTTAAGATATGAAGGGGCCTGACCATGAAGAGCTTTATAGGACAGGAGGAGGATTTTAAATTCTATTCTACATTTTACAGGGAGCCAATGCAGAGAAGCTAGTACAGGAGAGATGTGATCTCTTTTTCTAGTTCCTGTCAGTACTCGTGCTGCAGCGTTCTGAATTAATTAGAGCGTTTTAATGGACTTATTGGGGCAACCTGATAATAAAGAGTTGCAGTAATCCAGCCTTGACAAATCCTGGTCAAAGATAACTCCAAGATTCCTGACAGTGGTGCTAGAGGCCAAGTTAATGCCATCTAGAGTAACTATATCTTTAGACAGTGAGTCTCTAAGGTTTTTGGGGCCAAGAACAAGAATTTCGAGTTTAACATCAGAAAATTGCAGGTCATCCAGGATTTTATGTCCTTAAGACATGTTTGTAATTTAGATAATTGATTAATTTCATCGGGCTTTATTGATAGATATAACTGCGTATCATCTGCATAACAGTGAAAGTTAATGGAGTGATTCCTAATAATGTTGCCTAAAGGGAGCATATATAAAGTAAATAGTATTGGTCCAAGTACAGAACCTTGTGGAACTCCATGACTAACTGTAGTATTTATTGAAGATTCATCGTTAACATGTACAAACTGTGAGCGATCTAATAAATATGACTCAAACCAGCTTAGTGTGGTTCCTTTAATGCCAATTTGATGCTCAAGTCTCTGTAAAAGAATATCATGGTCAATGGTGTCAAATGCAGCATTAAGATCTAATAATACAAGTACAGAGACAAGTCCATTGTCAGAAGCAACCAGAAGGTCATTATTAACTTTAACCAGAGCTGTCTCTGTGCTATGATGAACTCTAAATCCTGACTGAAAATCCTCAAATAAACTATTGTTATGTAGAAAGTCACACAACTCTTTGGCGACTACTTTCTCCAGAATCTTAGAGAGGAACGGGAGGTTAGAAATCGGTCTATAGTTGGCTAAAACCCCTGGGTCAAGAGTGGACTTTTTAAGAAGGGGTTTAATTACAGCTATTTTAAAGGACTGTGGTACATATCCTGATAATAAAGAAAGATTAATCATATCCAGTAAAGAAGTGCCAATTAAGGGAACAACTTCTTTAAGCAGCCTAGTTGGGATCGGGTCTAATAGACAGGTTGATGGCTTCGATGAAGAAATGATTGAAGTTAACTGATGAAGATCGATAGCAGAAAAACAGTCTAAATATATATCTAAATTTACACTGACAGAAGTCCCTGAACTTGGAGAGCCACTGATAACTGTTGATGGCAGTTGGTGATTAATTTTCTCTCTAATAGTAATAATTTTATTATAGAAGAAGCTCATGAAGTCATTGCTACTTAAGTTTATGGGGATATGTGGCTCAATAGAGCTGTGGCTCTCTGTCAGCCTGGCTACAGTGCTGAAGAGGAACCTAGGGTTATTCTTATTTTCTTCTATTAGTGCTGAGTAATAGGCTCCTCTGGCATTACGGAGGGCCTTTCTATAAGTTTTAAGATTATCTTGCCAATTTGAGCGATATTCTGATAATTTGGAAGAGCGCCATTTCCTTTCAGATTTCCTAGCTATTTGTTTTAACTGGCGGGTTTGGTGGTTATACCACGGTGCTAGTCTCCTATGTTTTAATAATTTCCTTTTTATTGGAGCGATAGAGTCTAATGTTGATCGTAGTGAGCCTGTAGCACTATCAACAAGATTATCAATTTCAGAGGGACTAAAGTTGTTATAGGACTCTGTTAAATTCAGACATGGCATTGAATTAAACACTGAAGGAATCTCCTCCTTAAATTTAGCTACAGCACTGTCAGATAGACATCTGCTGTAGGAAGTTTTGCCTAATGGCTTATAATCTAATAGTATGAATTCAAAAGTTATTAAATAATGGTCAGATAGGAAAGGATTATGTGGGAAGACTATTAAATGTTCAATATCAATGCCATATGATAAAACAAGGTCAAGAGTGTGATTAAAACAATGAGTTGGTTTATTTACACTCTGACAGAAGCCAATTGAGTCTATTAATGATATAAATGCATTACTAAGGCTGTCATTGTTAACATCCACATGAATATTAAAATCACCTACAATAATTACTTTATCTGATTTAAGGACTAAACTTAACTAAACTATAACAAATAGAACTGGCTGCAGTGTTTTCCAGTTTGGGTGAGAAAGACTAAGAACAAGGCTTTCAAATGAATTATAATTTAGTTTAGGTTTAGGGTCCATTAAAACGCTCGAATCATATATGGCTGCTACTCCACCTCCTCGGCCAGTGCCTCGAGGAATGTGAGTATTAATATGACTGGGGGGTGGATTCATTTAGGCTAACATACTCCTCGTGGGACAACCAGGTCTCAGTAAGACAAAGTAAATCAATATCATAATCTGATATTAATTAGTTCACTAAAACAGCTTTAGAGGACAGAGACCTGATATTTAACAGCCCACATTTCATTCTCTTATTTTGTGCTACTGAGGAGTTAGTTTTAATTTTTATTAGATTTTTATGTTGAACTCCTCTTGTTTTTATTTCTTTAAATAATTTAGGTGGTCGGGGGACAGACACAGTCTCTATGGGGTTTTGGGGGGGTGACTGTTCTAAAGAAAGCGCAGAGAAGTGTGTAAGACAGCAGCTCTGCTTCCTGGTCCTAACTCTGGACTGTCAGGTTTTAGAAATAAACCTCGCCATATTTCTAGATAAGAGAGCCGCTCCGTCCAAAGTGGGATGGATGCCATCTCTCCTAATCAGACCAGGTTTTCCCCTTTGCTTCCAGTTATCAATGAAGCCCACATCGTTTTCTGGACACCACCTCGACAGGCTTTATGTACAACATTCCTAAATTTGGTTGGAATTCAATTAAGCATTGAAGAGTTATGGCCCATTAAGTGCATCTACACCTTCAAAAGTTCAGTAACCAATTATAGAGTGAAAACCTATATGTCTTGTTGAGCTTCATCTAAATATGCTATGTATCAATTAGATGAAGATTAGGTAAAATATGTGCCCAAAGAAGCAAAAAAATGTCTTTACCAAAAAATCCAAAATGGTTTAATGTTTCTAAGGTGTTAATATATCAGTTAAATTGGTATCATCCAAGGAACCCAGTGTATCAAAATGTTGCTTCTACTATAATTCATTTTAAAAGTCTAGTTCTTAGTCTTTCACACCCGACCTGGAAAACAATTCAACCAATTATTTTTTTATTTGTTTGGGGGCTTTTTCCCTTTAGAGGACAGCAGGAGATAGACAGGAAAGGGGGGTCAAGAGGGAGGATGACACGCAGCAAAGGGTGTTGGATTCGAACCCTGGGCCGCTGAAGTAAGGACTCAACTTTTGTACATGTGGTGCTCGCTCTACCAGCCAGTTCTATTTGTTATAGTGTACCGTGCTCCTGGACCGTACTCTGATTTTCTATCCGAACTTTCAAAGTTTTTATCAAGTTTAGTTCTTAAAACAGATAAAGTAATTATTGTAGGTGATTTTAATATTCAGGTGGATGTTAACAATGACAGTCTTAGTAACGCATTTATCTCATTAATAGACTCAATTGGCTTCTGTCAGAGTGTAAATAAACCAACTCATTGATTTAATCACACTTGACCTCGTTCTATTATATGGCATTGATATTGAACATTTAATAGTCTTCCCACATAATCCTTTCCTATCTGACCATTTTTAAATAACGTTTGAATTTATATTACTAGATTAGAGTACAGTACCACCATGAGCAAGCACTTGGCGACAAGGGCAAGGAAAAACTGCCTGTTAAAAGGCAGAAACCTAGGACAGATCCTCCGGCTCTAGGTGGGTGGTCGTCTGCCTTGACCAGTTGGGGTGAGAGAGAGAGAGAGAGAGAGAGAGACAGAGACAGAGACCGAGAGAGAGACAGACAGACAGACAGACAGGTGCACAGCAACAACAGTATTGCCAATGGCAATCTGGCAGGACCATGGCAGGCATGGCATTTACTAAATGAACATCATGCTGTATGGAAGAAGACTGAAACTCTTCAGGAAACTGTTTTAGAGTGAATGGGATCAGTGTGTTATTGCAGCCAATGGAGCTCCCCATGCTGGCCTTTACAAAGAATGCAGGTTTAAGACACTTGGGATTGGATTCACTTTTCAGACCTGGAAGCCCTGTCCATTATATATACTGTCAGTGTGTGGACTCTGTGGTGGGCGTTGGTTGTTTGTAGATGTTAGCGGACTCCATTTATAAGCTAACGTAACCCATTCAATCATTGACAATAAAAAATGATAAATAAAAACTACGTAAAATGCTATAATATTTAATGTTTCTTTGTTGGAGCCAATCAGCTGCTCTCCCTGATGTGATGTCACTGAACTCAAACTCTCCACTGACTGAATCACTGACTGATTGATTGATTGTTTGATGTCTCCACAGGTGTCCACAGCAGAATGCACACTCTCCCCTGAACGTCACCTCAGTATGACACCATTAGGCCCCGGCCCTTCCCCCCTCCCCCTCCACTATCACCATCATCATCATCATCATCATCACGTCTCGCTTTGGATTGGACCAACACGCCATCAGTCCTCACTGTGGCCCCGCCTCCTGCTGTATGTCTGGCTCTGGATTGGTGGACAGGTGGTTCAGGTGAGTGCTTCCCATCAGCAGTTTCACCCCCACTCCATAAAGATACCTGGTGACATCACTCTGGGGGGGCTGTTCCCCGTCCACTCCCGTGGCCCCCACGGTCTTCCCTGCGGAGAGCTGAAGAAGGAGAAAGGGATCCACCGTATGGAGGCCATGTTGTATGCACTGGACCAGATCAACAGTGACCCCGAGCTGCTTCCCAACATCACGCTGGGGGCCCGCATCCTTGATACCTGCTCCAGAGACACCTACGCACTGGAACAGTCACTCACCTTCGTCCAGGCGCTGATCCAGAAAGACACATCTGACATTCGCTGCTCTAACGGAGAGCCACCCATAATCCGTAAACCAGAGCGGGTTGTGGGAGTGATTGGAGCATCGGCTAGCTCCGTGTCTATCATGGTGGCCAACATTCTGAGACTGTTCGAAGTAAGTTATATATACATACATATTTATAAAGAATGTACAGGTAACACAGGTAATATACAGGAAGTACATCTGTAATGTACAGGAAATACATCTGTGTAACATTATGGGGGGAGTTAATGTCCACTTTGGCACAACACAAGTGCTGCTCTTCCCTAAACTTCCCCCTCTGGGAGGGCCAAGCCCCCGTTGCTATCAGTGTAAACACCAACACTCCTCTGGTGCTCTGAGCACACAGTCTTGGGTTTCCAGGGCATTACGGCTAAGCTAACTAGTTAACAGCAGCTCCATTTGGCAAACTCTGTAAATCACAGATGCAGAGAGAAACTGGAGGACATCAGAGGCAAAACCAGAAAATATTTTCCACATAAAATATGATCCTGTTTCACTAAAATCACTGACGGAGTTGGTGGTGTTTGACTTTAAAGCTTTAAAACTCTAAAACACACTTGTTCTGACCCAGAGACCAAAGTCACACAGTGCAAAAATAGGAAAACAGAGGGACCATTGACCCTGTTACAGTCAGTGGAACATCAACAGGATTCTGGTATTATAAAATCACATAATGTTGATTTAACATCTGTGGATCACTTGAGGATCTGCAGTGGTTCTCTGTTTATGTATCTGAGGTTAAATCCTATCTTCAGCTTCACCTTCTAGAAACACACCAAGAACACATGAAGGTAGGTTAACACACAGATCCAGACAGACAGGTATAGAGACAGACAGTGGGTGGATGAAGTAGTCTGGTTGCTGGATTAATGTTTTAAACAGACAGTTTGTGTCTGGATGACTGACTGTCTCTAATGAAAGCTTTTAATGACTGTGTGTGTGTGCGTGTGTTCAGCAGATTATTATTACTATGGTTTGAAGGTTTGTTAAAGTCAAACAGGAGAAACACTGGGTCACACAGAAGCAGACCTGATGTATGTTGATGTATGCTATATTGTTGATTATGTATGACAATAATTTACATATTATACATATATATATATACATGTATTTTACTCTGTTTTAATAATTTATGGTTTAATAGAGTGTAGTAAGTAACTGGAGACTACAGGACTGAAGTGACTGAACATCTCCAAACTAACTGACACAGTGCCCTCAACCTCAGAGGACAGCATAGCTGAGGGATCGATGATGGATCACTAATGTTTCAAGCTGTCTGTGACCTGACTTCATTTGAAGCTATAAGTTTAATTTTATTTTGTTGTTTATCCCGCTGAACTTTGCTTTAGCATGATGCTAACAGTTTGCTGCCTCGCGTTGGAGGATTCTGGACTAATGTTGGAATGTTGAGGGACAATAAAGAGAAACTTATTTAAAACAACTAAATAACCACAGCAGCAGGTTGGATGTTAGTGACCATTTTTAATGTTGTGTTAGCTTTGTTGTTGTACAGAAGCTTGTTCTGCTCCACGCTCCCTGCTGCTGTCTGTAAATTGATGGATATGTCCTAAAAGTCACAATATGACTTTGTGTGAAAAAGAGACGGTCAAACTGCAGGAATTCGTTTTCTTGGCAGTGATTGGTAAGTTTGATTAGCATCTAGGAGGAGGAGAGCATTGTGGGGGATTTAGTAAAATTAGAAATAACATGCAGATTTACTTTTTCCTGTCGATCAATCGGTTGGTTGAATTGATTGCAGTTCACACATTACAGCTGGAGCTCCTTATGTGACATCACTCAGGATGAGCCAATCACCTGCAGCAATCCATTGATGACCTCCTCATCCTACTTCACACCGCCATTGTCTCCCGAGGACTCAAACCAGTGTCAGAGGTTTGTTTGAGTCCTGTAGTCCTGATCTGTTTGGTTCTAAGTATCTATACAGCTGTCAGTGGACGACCTAAAGATGAAGGAGGACCTTAAGGGGTTTCAGCTGCTGTTAGTGCTGTACTAGTTCACGTTGTCCAGCCTGGTCTGAAGACTTTGAGTGTTGAGGCCCTGACTGATCCACATTGGGCTCACATCAAACAATCAATATCTGATCAGTATCTGTGTAGAATTTTCCTGCATTCTGGGAGTGTGAAGGTGTGAGACAAACTCAACAAGCTAGTTAGGAAGGCCAGTTCAGTGATTGGAGGAGTGTCCTGAAGACCTGAACCCTTGAGATCTTCCACAGAGTGGCAGGAGATCATTCCTGTCTGCCGAACCATCCTCACTATGTTGCTGAGGTTGTACTGGACTCACTTTGATATTTGATATTGGATATTGATTTTTAATATTTCATTTTAGATATAGATTTTATATCAGTTGGTCCATTTGTGTTCTGCTGCTGTGACATGAGAGTTTCCCCCCCCAGGGATAAATAAAGTACCTGTCTACCTTGTAGGAGCTAATGAATCTTCTTCCTCTAACCTCCACACAGCTGACCAATCAGTGAGTGAGGAGTGTTTGATGTCAGATCTTTGTATGAGGAGGTCGTTGGAGGTTTCAGACTGTTTGAATCAGATTCAGGTTCTGGAACCTCTGAACTGAAACCTGATGTTCATGTTTGTGTCGCTCCACTGAAGCATCTCTCTGATGATGATGATGATGATGATGACAGTCATAACGAGGTCTGCTTTTAGGAGCTCGTCAATGTGGAGTCCTTCATTAATCTGCACACACACACACAGTGTTAATGTGATTATTATTCAGTTTATTGAAGCTCCGACACACAATCAGCTCAGGCTGTTACACAACACTAATCCTCCTTGTGTGTGTGTGTGTGTGTGTGTGTGTGTGTGTGTGTGTGTGTGTCCCAGTGTTTCCAGTTTGACTAGTGGTGTGCATGTGTTTAATTTGACCCTAGGCTCTGACTGAATGGTCAGGACTGAAGGGGGTCTGTGTAGTCTGGTTTAGATGAACTCTGGTGGTTTGTTAAGGTTCCTATTAAAGCTGTCACTCAAACTGTGGGTTGGACTAAATACTTGAACAGGAGGGTCTCTGACCAACCACATGGTTTCATTTTATAGATTTATATGAATATATGATAGATTAATTAAATGATAAAAACTCGATTCACTCAGTGTCCAGTTAATTAATGTAGATATATGTAATATATAGATATATGTACTTATATGATCAGGTTGTGTTCCACCCATTAATGTCAATGAGGGAAGAATAACTCTCTGTATGGTGGTTAATTACTGTTCCTAATAAACTGGATACTGACTGTACATGCAAGTCATCTTGTAATCATAGCAAAGCATGAGTGAAATATATATAAATATCTATATAAATATATATATAGGGTTATTGATCTGTTGTTCAGATTCCTCAGGTGAGCTACGCATCCACAGCTCCGGAGCTCAGCGATAACAACCGGTATGACTTCTTCTCTCGGGTGGTTCCTCCGGACTCATACCAGGCTCAGGCCATGTTGGACATTGTCAAGGCTCTGGGCTGGAACTACGTCTCTACGCTGGCGTCCGAGGGGAACTACGGAGAGAGTGGAGTCGACGCCTTCATGCAGATCTCCAGAGAGGCTGGTATGTTAGGTTCCCACTTTAGTCTGTAAATAAAAAAATTTAAAAAATGAAATAAAAAACATTTTTTTCTTATATCTTATTATTTTCTCAGAATTCCTTTCTTGTCATATCCTTCTGAACCAGAAGAAAAAAGGTTTTCATAGTTTGATAAAAAATGTGTTGATTTTTAAATAATTTAAGTAATTATGTATATAGTTGGAGTGGACATAAGATAAAAAACATCCTCATTAAGATAAAAAACATCCTCATTAAGAAAATCCCTTACTGCTGCAGCCATTTGAAAATACAAAAATGCTCAGTTGGCCACGCCCCCCGTGTGACATCACTATAAAGCCCAGGATGTCCTCTTCACAGGACATCAGGGGTGCGTTTCATGTCACTTAATTGCGCATTTACTCACGAGACAGCAGCTTCATTGATTTTTAAATCTCCGACACACTGACAGGATCTAATATTAATTATGTTTTTTGTTGTGTTTCTTTTACTTTACACCTCCAGAAGTTCCCACACATTCCAGGTTCATACAGGGAAATTGTTCAGAGTTAAACAGCCATCTTCCTGATGAATCATCTGAGAGTTTCTGTCAACTTTAAAACTATTTTTAAGTTTTGCTACTTAATGATATTTGCTGCAGTGACATTACTGCGTACATGGAGACATTTAAAATGACTGAAAGCTTCCTCTCTCATTATTTTAGTACATGAAGAAAACACTCATCATTAATACAACACAGAATATATAAAGAAATCATCTGTAACATGCTGTTCAACAGACACAGGAATAATTTCTACTGCCAGAATGTATTATATTATTTGCTCATTATGTGCCACTGTATTTGTCTATATTGTGATTGTAAACGTATTATTGAAAAACACAGAATATGATTGTGGTGTCCTTTTGAACAATGGAAAATATTTATTAGGCTCAATGTTTTAGGGAAAATTTAAATGGTGTAACTGACAAACCTGACTGAGGAATTATCAGGAAATTACAATAAATTATATAAAACGATTTCTTGCTGACAGACAGACTCTCTACTGTCTCTGATTGTTATATGATCATATTAAATGGCGCAACTGCAGCGTCAAATCAATAACTGATATTCAATAAAGGGGTGCATCGGTTGGTAAAAGACTTCTGTGAAGGCTGCTCTTGTGTATCCTTGCTCCTCAGAGATCACTCCTTGATCCTTGGTGCAGAAATAAGTGCTTTGGGACAGCCTGCAAAATGGCGGACCAGAACAACTTCCGGTTCAAGCATGGAGCGAGGAAATGTCAAATAAGAGACTTGGCATGTACCCCAGGACTCAATGACACAGCATGCATGGTGTTATGTTTCCCATAGAGGACATTAATGTTCAGATTATTGTAGACCAGCAAAGGAAAATCTGTCTGATGGAGCTATATCAGCGAGTTGTTTTGGTGGTTTGAGCAACAGGAATGTTTTTGAGTTTCTGATTGGATGAAGGTCTGCAGGTATGGTAAATGGTAAATGGACCTGTACTTGTATAGCGCCTTTCTAGTCTTCCAACCACTCAAAGCGCTTTTACACTACGTGCCACATTCACCCTTTCACACACATTCACTCAGTGATGGCAAAGTCCATCAAACAGAAACTAACTCATTCATACACCGATGCTGTGCATTGGGAGCAATTTGAGGTTCAGTATCTTGCTCAAGGATACTTCGACATGTGGCAGGAGGAGCCGGGGATCGAACTAACAACCTTCCGATTAGGGGACGACCCGCTCTGCCTCTGAGCCACAGCCGTGATTATACCACTGCTGAACCTTCTGCTTTGTTCATCGAAAAATGAACTGAACTGTCATTTTATAATTTAAATCATTTGAAGAAACAGCTGCAGCTGAAAAGTTGATCACCCATTAAATAGTAAATGGACTGTACTTATATAGCGCCTTTCTAGTCTTCTGACTACTCAAAGCACTTTTACACTAGATCCCACACTCACCATTCACGCACATTCATACACTGATGAGAGTGGCTTCCATGCAAGGTGCAGCTGCTCATCAGAAATTAAGAGCATTTCCAGACATTCATCCACCGATGCACAGCTATATATATACATATATATATATATATATATATACTGTTATATATAATTTATTGCATATATAATTTATCACTAATATTAAAGGTGCATCCAAATGTGGCATAAACAGAAAGAGGTCATTAATGGAGAAGACTGTGTCTCTGAGGGTACCTGTCTCTCTCTTTGTCTCACAGTCAACCTGTCTTTGTACCTGTCTGTCTGTCAGGTGGGGTGTGCATCGCTCAGTCAGTGAAGATTCCTCGCGAGCCAACAGCTGGAGAGTTTGATAAGATAATCAAACGTCTGATGGAGACAAGTAATGCCAGAGGAGTGATCATCTTTGCCAACGAGGACGACATCAAGTAAAATCAGAAAACAACAACAAAACAACAAACTGACCTCAGATCAGCATTCATCATCACATTCAGTCCAAACCAGCAATCTCTCTGAATCCTCCCCTTTCTTCCTGGTAGGCGTGTCCTTGAGGCGGCAAAACGTGCTAATCTGACGGGTCACTTCCTGTTTGTGGGGTCCGACAGCTGGGGAGCAAAGAGTTCACCAATTGCAGAGCTGGAGGATGTCGCTGAGGGCGCCGTCACCATCCTACCTAAACGGGCTTCAATAGATGGTGAAAATAAAAATCATAACAACATGTCAGACTGCGAGAGACTAAACCTCTGTTTATGTTTGTGTTTATTTGTGCGTGTGTTGTACAGGCTTTGATCAGTACTTCATGTCTCGTTCTCTGGAGAACAACCGCAGGAACATCTGGTTCAATGAGTTCTGGGAGGACGACTTCAGGTGTAAACTGACCCGACCTGGAATCAAACTGGACCTTGACAAGAAGAAATGTACAGGTACACCCACATCTGAGGGGACGGGGCCCAGGGTGTGGTGGGCCGTATCATGAGATGCTGTGTGTATCACTGCAGGTGAAGAGAGGATCGGACGGGACTCGTCCTATGAGCAGGAAGGGAAGGTCCAGTTTGTGATCGATGCAGTTTATGCTGTGGCTTACGCTCTGCACAGCATGCATCAGGATCTGTGTCCCAGCAGCTCCGGAGTATGTGGCAAGATGGACCCTGTGGAGGGACGCTCGCTGCTCGGCTACATCAGAGCTGTCAACTTCAATGGTAAGAAAACACCAAAAATATAAATCCACATCAGAGACATCAACTTCAACCAAGGGTGTTTCCAGATCTTTTAGACTGGGGTGGCACAAGAAGGGACTGATGTAGAGGTGGCATGAAGTATTCAATTCAATTCAATTCAATTCAATTCAATTTTATTTGTATAGCGCCAATTCATAACAGAAGTTATCTCAGGACACTTTTCAAATAGAGCAGGTCTAGACCGAACTCTTTAACATTAATTACAGAGACCCAACAGTACCACCATGAGCAAGCACTTGGCGACAAGGGCAAGGAAAAACTGCCTGTTAAAAGGCAGGAACCTAGGACAGATCCTCCGGCTCTAGGTGGGTGGTCGTCTGTCTCGACCAGTTGGGGTGAGAGAGAGAGAGAGAGAGAGAGAGAGAGACAGAGGAGAGAGAGACAGACAGACAGACAGGTGCACAGCAACAACAGTATTGGCAATGGCAGTCAAGCAGGACCATGGCAGGAGGCTCCACCAGGATCCATGAGAACCTGCGAGACGAGAAAGCACAAGAACTCCGGGGAAGAAGTGGAGTTAGTAACATGCATTAAAGGGACATGAATGAGTGCAGAAAGAGAGAGGAAGAGAGTAGCTCAGTGCACCATGGGAAATCCCCCGATAGTCTAGGCCTATAGCAGCATAACTAAGGGATGGTTCAGGACTCACCTGATCCAGCCCTAACTATAAGCTTTATCAAAGAGGAATGTCTTAAGCCTACTCTTGAATGTGGTGAGGGTGTCTGCCTCCCGAACCACAACTGGAAGCTGGTTCCACAGGAGAGGAGCTTGGTAACTGAAGGCTCTGGCTCCTGTTCTACTTTTAGAGACTATAGGAACCACAAGTAGCCCAGCATTCAGAGAACGTAGTGTTCTAGTGGGGTAATAGGGTACTATGAGCTCTTTAAGATATGAAGGGGCCTGACCATGAAGAGCTATATACGTACCCCCACCGCCCGACTTAGGCCGTGGAGCCGTCCGGCTTAACCTACTCCCCCCCAGGGGATGCGGATTAGTGGAATTTGGTACCTCAGGCCCCAACTCTCTCTTTCACCGTGGTCACCAGAGAAACAGACTCCGCCTCTCTCCATGCTTGGTGGTAAATCTGTGTTGCTCCTCCCCTGTCAGAACGCATAACCTCATAGTTGACATCACCCACTCGCCGTGTGAGCACAAAGGGCCCTTGCCACTTGGCGAGTCATTTAGAACTGGAAGAAGGGAGTAATACAAGCACTTTATCTCCCGGTGCAAACTGTCCCAGTCTAGTTCCTCTGTTGTACAGGCACTGTTGATGCTCCAGGGCCCTGAGCAAATTCTCCCATGACAACTGTCCCAGTGTGTGGAGTTTTGCTGTCAGGTCCAGGACGTACTGAACTTAATTTTTATTTGGGCTCGGACCTTCCTCCCAGCTTTCTTTAACCAGGTCCAGAACCCCCCGTAGTGTCCTGCCAAACAGCAGTTCAAAGGGAGAAAATCCCATGGAGGCCTGGGGTACCTCGTGCACTGCAAACAACAGAGATCTGCCACCTATCCCAATTGCGGTCGCCATCGTGCACAAATCTACGGATCATGGACCTCAAGGTTTTGTTCAGACGCTCGACAAGGCTATCAGTCTGAGGGTGGACCTGATGCCCAATAATCCATGCAGTTCCCAGAGTGTGCGTTACCTAAACGAGGTGCCCTGGTCTGTTGTTTCTTTTGGGATCCCAACTCGAACATCTCCAGGAATGTTTTGGGATCCCAACTCGAACATCTCCAGGAATGTTTGGTAGTCATCCGCCGCTGTCATCCTGTGCATGGGGATGCCTTGCCCGGGCCAGCAAACCCTCAAGCAGCTGGTTCTGCTTCCCTGCCTGGTCCTGGAGTGCCTCCAGATGCCGCCTGGTCACAGCCGCCTGCTCGCTGTGCATTGCAGCAACCTGCCCCAGCATTTCTCCCAGCAGTGCCACCAGCAGTGGAGGCTGCTGCCGAGGCTGCTGCAGCCATCAGCCACACAAACTATTCACAGCTTAGCTCACTTCAAAAGTCCATGAAGGTTTCCTCCTCTTGTCTTTTCTGTTGTGTGTCAGCCTCGAGGTCCAGCACACTACTGCCTTAAGAGAGGTGAGTGTGATTACTCCATGAGTACCAGCTAAAGATAATCAACTCTACCTGGTGCTGCTCCCACAAGCCTTCCCCACACCTCTCTCTCTTGCAGCTGAGTGCAAACCACACCCACCTCCACACTATAAAACACATTTTAATTCAGATATCTTGAGGTCTAGGGATCCCACTGAAAAAAGCTGTGGCAGTTTTTCGTTTGCTAAAATTTTGCCTTATTTAGCCTCCTTGCCAAAATTTTACCATGACATTGTTGGTACCAATGAATGCGTTAGGTCATCTAGTTTCATATGGTACCAGTTCACTTTTCACTTTAACTTTAAAACGGAGCCTGGTACAGTCCCTGAAAGACAGTCGGAGTGGAAGAGGTAAGGATAATGGGGTGCCAATCAGATTTCAGGGATGGCCAGTGCCACCCCAGGTCCCTCCTCAGGAAACGCCCCTGACGTCTAAATCAGAGCAACTGGAACAGAGAATGGTGAGCATCTGGGGGCCAGAGTTAGTGCAGGACAAGGTGTGTCCGGAAGTGGAAAAAGGTATCTCATTCACTCACATTCACACACCGATGATGCACCATTGGGAGCAATCCTGGGTTCAGTATCTTGCTCAAGGACACTTTGACATGCAGCGGGAGGATCAAACCAACAACTTTCCAATTAGTGGAGGACCCGCTCTACCTCTGAGCCACAGCCGCCCTAAGGTCATCTGGGTGACTTGTTTAATGTGCTGGCGAGATCAAACAACTGTTAGACTTTGAGAAATCACATAGTTGTCGAGAGTTACTGTTACTTGATCAAACTGGTGTCTATGTGGAGCCAATGACCAGAATCCGTTTTTCACTGCAGACAAACAGACCTCTCAACTGATATATAGTGTCAGTAAATATTGATAATATCATTCTATTAACATCTTTGGTAGAACAAGTCATTTTCAATTCATTTGAATTTTATTTGTATAGTGCCAATTCATAACAAACGTTTGCTCAGGACACTTTTCAAAAGAGTGGGTCTAGACCGTACTCTAAAATTTCAGAATCCAGGAGGGAGGAAGAGGCTGAATTGAAGGCACTAGACTCTGTTGTAGTTATGACAGTAGCAAGGATAGATTCCCTTGAATTGAATTAGTAAATGGTTCGGTCAGAAGAGACAGAAGTTATCAGACTTATCTGATAACTGAGTCTTCATGTTGTTCAATTTAAAGAGCAAGGAGCAGCAGCTTCATCCTGTTAGACTTCAAATTCATATTTTATAAAGGCAAGAAGCTGCAGCAGCTGGAAGACTGAGAGGATTTAAACTGTAACAGCCAGAGCTGCACGCCACGAAACCTGTCTCTCTGACTGCCTATCTGTCTGTCTGTCTGTCTGACTGCCTGTATCTCTCTCTACATGAATCCTCTCAGTCATCTGAATATTTAATCAGTTCAGTAGAAGTGTGTTCTTATTTGGGGTGTTGGTGTATTTTAGGAATGTGGCCTTTAGTGAACCTGCTGTTTGGTGAAGAGACTGAAACCTGAACAGGGATTTCAGGACTGAGGCTAACCCACACCTGGTGGTCAGGTGATCCCTGACGGGCAGCTTTTTGGTTTTAGTCAGGATCTCAGTCAGGTTCTGGTTGTCATGCATAGAAACATAGCGTAGAAGGTATTTATTGGTAAAATGAATGAACTGAACACAGCATGAGAGGAATACCTGAAGACACTACTCAAGGCTGAATACTGTCAGTTAATGCTAAAAAGACACAAAAACTGAACATGGAAGATGGACATCATGGATGGAGGTCAGATGGACTCAGTGATGGAGGATGATGATGAGGATGATAGAGGATGATGATGGAAGATGATGATGATGATAGAGGATAATGGTGGTGTAGAAGGGAACCCTGATTGTTTTAGGCAGGCTGAAACCCAGTTTGTAATGTTCAAGATCTTTTACTGAAACGTGACAATGTTGTTGAGTTCCTGTTGACATTGTTGAATGCTTTCTAATTGGATGCTGCCACAGATATTGCTTAGTAACCGATTTACAGTTTTTAAGACCTGTTCTGTGTGTTGTGTGGTTCAGTTTGTGGTCTGCAGTTTCTTTACTCAGAGACATTCAGATAATAAGTTAAAAATAAGTTAATGCACTTTACATGTTTCCCCTAAGGACTTGGTGTGTGTGTGTGTGTGTGTGTGTGTGTGTGTGTGTGTTAATAATTAAAGTGAACAGCTGCTCTAACACTCTGTAAGAGGAAAAGGAGAAAGAACATCACGTGTTTCATTTTTTTATTCAAATTAGGACGGAGACAAAGGTGCACTAACGATGATGACAACGATGGGGGATGAATATAGTAATAAGTGCAATCATGGGAAATCCCCCGATAGTCTAGGCCTATAGCAGCATAACTAAGGGATGGTTCAGGACTCACCTGAGCCAGCCCTAACTTTCCCTAACTAAGCTTTATCAAAGAGGAACGTCTTAAGCCTACTCTTAAATGTGGAGAGGGTGTCTGCCTCCCAAACCAAAACTGGAAGCTGGTTCCACAGGAGAGGAGCTTGGCAGCTGAAGGCTCTGGCTCCTGTTCTACTTTTAGAGACTATAGGAACCACAAGGTCAGTTTAGTTCAGTTCAGTTCAGGTTTATTGTCATATGCATATTTAGTACAGGGTACCACAGCAATGAAATACAATGTGCCTTGGCACTCTCTCAGCACCAGTCAATCAATAAATAAATAACAATTATAAAGTAGCCCTGCATTCAGAGAACGCAATGTTCTAGTGGGGTAATAGGGTGCTATGAGCTCTTTAAGATATGAAGGGGCCTGACCATGAAGAGCTTTGTAGGCGAGTAGGAGGATTGTAAATTCTATTCTGAATTTCACAGGGAGCCAGTGCAGAGAAGCTAGTACAGGAGAGATGTGATCTCTTTTCCTAGTTCCTGCCAGAACTTGTGCTGCAGCGTTCTGAATTAATTGGAGCATCTTAATGGGCTTATTGGGGCGACCTGATAATAGGGAATTGCAGTAATCCAGCCTAGAAGTAACAAATGCATGGATTAGTTTTTCTGCATCCATCTGTGACAGGATGTGTCTAATTGTTGTAATATTACGTAAATGAAAAAAGGCAGTCCGGGAGGTTTACTTCATGTGGGAATTAAATGACATGTCCTGATCAAAGATAACTCCAAGATTCCTGACAGTGGTGCTAGAGGCCAAGGTAATACCATCTTGAGTAACTTTATCTTTAGATAGTGAGTCTCTGAGGTTTTTGGGGCCAAGTACAAGAATTTTGTTTTTTTCTGAGTTGAACATCAGAAAATTGCAGCTCATCCAGGATTTTATGTCCATAAGACATGTTTGTAATTTAGATAATTGATTAATTTCATTGGGCTTGATCGATAGATATAAATGTGTATAATCTGCATAGCAATGAAAGTTAATGGAGTGATTCCCAATAATGTTGCCTAAAGGAAGCATATATAACGTGAATAGAATTGGTCCAAGTACAGAACCTTGTGGAACTCCATGACTAACTTTTGTATTTATGGAAGATTCATCGTTAACGTGTACAAACTGAAAACAATCTGATAAGTATGACTTAAACCAGCTTAGTGCGGTTCCTTTAATGCCAATTAGATGCTCAAGTCTCTGTAAAAGAATATTATGGTCAATGGTGTCAAATGTGGCTCTAAGATCTAATAATACAAGTACAGAGACAAGTCCATTGTCAGAAGCAATCAAAAGGTCATTATTCATTTTAACCAGTGCTGTCTCTGTGCCGTGATGAACTCTAAATCCTGACTGAAAATCCTCAAATAAGCTGTAGCTATGTAGAAAGTCACACAACTGTTTGGCCACTATTTTCTCCAGAATCTTAGAGAGGAAGGGGAGGTTAGAAATCGGTCTATAGTTGGCCAAAGCCCTGGGTCAAGAGTGGGCTTTTTAAGAAGGGGTTTAATTACAGCTACTTTAAAGGACCGTGGTACATATCCTGACAATAAAGAAAGACTTTTTATGTCTGTCCTAGCTGCTAACATAGAGGCAGTTTTATGAGCTATACTGCAGTCAGCCATCAGGGGGAGATAGAGAAGGTCTGGATTCACTTTTAGAGAGCTGCATGTCGTCTTTATATATGTGGATGGTTCACTGTGAGCTGCTGAACAACGACAATGTAAAGGAAGCTTCCTTGTTTGTCTGTCTGTCTGTGTCCTACAGGAAGTGCAGGTACGAGTGTTTTGTTTAATGAGAACGGAGACGCTCCTGGTCGCTACGATATCTTCCAGTTCCAGATGACCAATCACAGCCATCCTGGTTACCGAGTCATTGGCCAGTGGACCAATAACCTGAGACTGAACGTAAGAAACTGATTGGACCGAACACAAACCACATGTGCTGAGTTTAGCTTCCTGTCTCACCCTCTCTCTCTCTGTGCCTGTCTGTCTCTCCACCTGTCTGTCTCTGTACCTGCCTCTCTCTTTCTGTTCCTGTCCGTCTCTGTACCTCTCTCTCTCTCTCTCTCTCTCTCTCTCTCTCTCTGTCCCTGTCTGTCTCTGTACCTGCCTGTCTGTCTCAGTACCTGTTTCTCTCTCTCTGTACCTGTCTGTCTCTGTACATGCCTGTCTGTCTCGGTACCTGTCTCTCTCTCTCTCTGTACCTGTCTGTCAGCTGGAGGAGATGCAGTGGTCTGGAGGAGATAAATTAGTTCCAGACTCTATCTGTAGTTTTCCGTGTCAACCAGGAGAGAGGAAGAAGATGGTGAAAGGAGTTCCCTGCTGCTGGCACTGTGAGGTAAACCCATTAACAATAATGACAACAACAACAACCACAACAGTCATTTTGATTGACTCCATGAACAGTGTATCCTGTAGGTTGCGTTGAGGGGACCTTTAGCCATTTTATATTGTAACTGTAAATTGTTGTAGCCAATAGTGCTGTGTGTTACCTCCCCCCCAGTCCAGCAGCTGTAGTAGATCCATTAGCTGACTGTGTCGGACTGCCAGTGAACAGCAGGTCAAGACCGGGACTGAATGCAGCATCTGATGCTGACGGAGGACAGTTTGACTGCAGGGAATAAAGGACTGAGGTGTTTATATTGCCAGTTTTGGCTTCTGCCACCCTGGGGCTAAATCAGCTAACTTAAGTTGCATGAACTAACTAGGTTACAGCATCCAACATGACTGTTAGCGACAGTTAGCTTCTTTTAGCAAGAAGTCCGTCTCGAAACAACATAAATCACCTTGGTACCGCTGTCAAACTGTCCTCTGTCTGTCTCTGAGGTTGTGTTCACTGGGAGGCTTCTGAGCCTGTTCGGTTGCAGTTAGCCAACGGCACCTACATTAGCAGCTAGCTAACGGCAGCTACATTAGCAACAGGTAAAATGTAAACTATTTTCTCCATAAAATATGATCTTACTTTATCCAAATCACTGATAATATTGTGTTTACAATATTTAATCTGGACTTTAAGGGACATTTTATTTATTTATCTTATAGCTGACGGTAGCGAGAGGACAAAGGTCAGACACATATCACTGTTTTAGCCCGACAACAAACTACTACTGTCTGACCTGTCTCTCTCTGACCTGTCTGCAGCTCTGTGATGGCTATCAGTACCAGGTGGATGAGTTTACCTGTGAGACCTGTCCGTCGGACATGCGTCCCGTCCCTAACAGAACAGCCTGTCGCCCGACTCCTATCATCAAACTGGAGTGGAACTCCCCCTTTGCCCTTGTCCCCGCCTCCCTCGCCATGCTTGGTATCCTAGCAACCAGTGCCGTGGTTATCACCTTCATCCGCTTTAACGACACGCCAATCGTCAGGGCGTCAGGGAGGGAGCTCAGTTACGTACTACTTACAGGTGAGTAATATTACTGACAGGTACTACTGACAGGTAAATACTGACACGTACTACTGACAGGTAAATACTTACAGGTACGACTGACAGGTACGACTGACAGGTAATACTGACAAGTAAATACTGATAGGTACGACGGACAAGTAAATACTGATACTACTGACAGGTAAACACCAACAGGTACTACTGACAGGTAAACACTGACAGGTACTACTGACAAGTAAATACTGATAGGTACTATTGACAGGTTAATACTGATAGGTACTACTGACAGGTAAATAATGATAGGTACTACAGACAGGTAGTCAGGTACGCCTACTCTTAAATGTGGAGAGGGTGTCTGCCTCCCTAACCACAACTGGAAGCTGGTTCCACAGGAGAGGAGCTTGGTAACTAAGAGCAGAGTCTCTCCTCTTCTGGTAGCCAGTTCTGTCTGTGGCGACCCTTTTCTATGGCCAGGCTGTGCTCACTCAGTCTGTACATTGTCAACATTTTTCTTAATTTAGGACATTTTATTGTGCTCAGGTAATTTGCCAGTTTGAATTCTCTTTTTAGGGTCAGATAACATTGTAATTTACTTTGTGTTTTGGTCGTTTCTTTCCAGTATTCAATATATTTTTCTTTTTGCTTGTTGATAATTTGGTTTGGTCTGATTGAGTTGGTGTTGCTGTCCTGAGGCTGTTGGGGACATGTTACTGCAGAGAGCCTCAGGACCAGCTGGCTGAGGGGACTCTTCTCTTAACTGATTTTAAGTGATTGTAAAATTTAATTGATCTTTTCTGTATTTTTAGTAGGAGGGGGTATTGGACGAGCTCTGCTCTGCATAGATTATTTGGTGTTTTTCTCTGCACCTGCAGGATGCTCTTGTAGAACTCGGTGTGGAAAGATTCTATGATTGTTTTGTCCCATTTGTCAAATGTATTATTTAGTTTTGGTCCCCAAATTTTGCTGCCATATAGAATTATTGGTTCTAGTACAAATTGGAAAATTTTAAGCCAGATTTCGATTGGAATATAGATTTTAATGTTTCTCTTTATTGCATAGAAAGCTCTCCTTGCTTTGTCCCTCAGATCTTTCACAGCCATGTTGAGGTTTCCTGTGTATGTAATGTTGAGGCCAAGGTAAGTGTAGTTTTTTGTATGTTGTAAATAGAAATTGTGTGCAACCTGATTTCTGTATTATTTCTGAAAGATCATTATCTTAGTCTTTGCTGTGTTTACTGTCAGGGCCCAGGTCTGACAAAATCTCTGCAGGAGATTAAGGTGCTGCTGCAAACCTTCTTTAGTAGTTGAGAGCAACACTAAGTCATCTGCATATAGCAGACCTCTGACCTCTGTGTCGTTCAAGGTAAGGCCAGGTGCCGTGGAACGCTCTAGTTGGTTCACTAATTCATTGATATATAGATTGAAGAGAACTGGACTGAGATTGCATCCCTGCCTCACTCCCCGGCCCTGGGAGAAGACGATGTTTGTTTGTTTCCAATCTTTACAGCACATTCACTTTTTGTATACATGTTCTTAATCAGATCATATGTTTTTCCTCCAATGCCACTTTCAAGTAGCCTATAGAAAAGGCCCTCGTGCCAGATGGAATCAAAGGCTTTCTTCAATTCAATTCAATTCAATTCAATCAAAATTATGTATTTGTATAGCGCCAATTCATAACTTGAAGTCAACGAAACATGTATATACCTTTCTTTTCTTAATTTTTAATTCTTGATCAATTAAAGTCTGGGGGGCAAATATATGGTCCGTTGTGCGGCAATTTGGCAAGAAGCCAATTTGGCATTTATGCACAATATTGTGGTCATCAAGAAAGTTGACAAGTCGTTTATTAATGATGTTGCAGAATATTTTTCCCAGGTTACTGGAGACACATATTCCTCTGTAGTTATTTGGATCATATTTATTTACGGATTTCTGAATTGGGGTTATTAAACCTTTGTTCCAGATGTCTGGAAAAGCTCCAGTTGACAGAATAGTATTGAATAGTATTTGATCCTTTGGTTGAGGATTCCATCAATACCACAAGCCTTTTTTCCTTTCTATATTCAGGGAATGGATGACTTCTGTTAATTCTTGTTCTGTGACTGGGTAATCTAGAGGGTTTTGGTTGTTTTTTATCACCGCCTTTTATCACAGAGTTTTCCATTTCGTGAATATCTTGTACTGATCATCATTTTTTGTAATAATACTATATAATTCACTAAAGTGATTAATCAAAGTATTTCCATCTTGGATCGCCAATTCATCCTGCTGGGTTTTGTTTAGGTTGTTCAATTTCTCTCAGAACTGGTTCTGGGAGAAATGGTTCTCTCTCCCCCCTCTCTCTGTCTGTCTCTCTCTCTCTTTCTCTCTCTCCCACCCACCTAGAGCCGAAGTGTCTGTCCTAGGTCTCTGCTTCTTAAAAGGAAGTTTTTCCTTGCCGCTGTCTCCAAGTGCTTGCTCATGGTGGGAACTGTTGGGTCTCTGTAAATAATGTTATAAGGAGTTCGGTCTAGACCTACTCTATTTGAAAAGTGAGTATCCTGAGATCATTTCTGTTATGAATCAGTGCTATACAAATAAAACTGAGTTGGAGAAACAACCAGACTGAATCCAAAACAAGAAACATATTTCATCATGTCATCATTTGAAAGATGTCACACAGAGATTCAATTCAATTCAATTCAATTTTATTTGTATAGCGCCAATTCATAACAGAAGTTATCTCAGGACACTTTTCAAATAGAGCAGGTCTAGACCGAACTCTTTAAAACATTAATTACAGAGACCCAACAGTACCACCATGAGCAAGCACTTGGCGACAAGGGCAAGGAAAAACTGCCTGTTAAAAGGCAGAAACCTAGGACAGATCCTCCGGCTCTAGGTGGGTGGTCGTCTGTCTCGACTCGAGATTCAAATGACATCATCAGCAGTGAGGATGACATCACCTGTCTCTCTATCTGCAGGTATCTTTCTGATCTACCTGATCACTTTCCTGATGATCGCAGAGCCAGGTGTGGTGGCTTGTGCGTTCCGGCGCCTCCTGCTGGGCCTCGGTATGGCCATCACCTACTCTGCCATGTTAACCAAAACCAACCGCATCTATCGCATCTTCGAACAAGGCAAGAGGTCGGTGACCCCACCGAAGTTCATCAGCCCTACCTCACAGCTCATCATCACCTTCATTCTCATCTCTGTCCAGGTGAGAACACGGTGTCAGACCACTTCCTGTTTCCTGTTTCCTTTTCAACAGATTGTCACATGACTCAGGTTCGTGTGTGTGTGTGTGTGTGTGTGTGTGTGTGTGTGTGTGTGGGTGGGTTAGGTCCTTGGTGTGTTTGTGTGGTTCGCCGTCGTCCCTCCTCACACCATCATCGACTATGAAGAGCTTCGCCCCCCGAATCCTGAACTGGCCCGAGGCATCCTTAAGTGTGACATGTCTGACCTGTCAATCATCTGTTGCCTCAGCTACAGCATTGTACTCATGGTAACATATTGATCTAGCATTGATCCTTCATTGTTCTGTTATTGATTTGTTATTGATCAGCTCTTATAAATACTGGTTTCAGACTAAGCAGGTGAACTTACCTTCTGATGTCACATTGATCTTTGACAGGAAATAAGTATTATTTAAGTTTTGTAAAAGGCTGTACTGTTTCTGTTGCTAGGTAACCTGAGTTACTAGCTGGTATGTAAGCTGCATTGTTTCTTGTTACTAGGTAACATGTACAGTGTACGCAGTGAAGAGTCGTGGTGTTCCAGAGACGTTTAATGAAGCAAAGCCAATCGGTTTCACCATGTACACCACCTGCATCATCTGGCTCGCCTTCGTACCGATCTTCTTTGGTACTGCCCAGTCCACTGAGAAGGTAAGAACCAGGACAAACAAGGACAAGAAGGACATGGTAAATCCTTAAGTGGTATGGTATATAACCATCCACATACAAAGATATACAGAGTCTGTGCAGTAGTGATCGGGGTCTGCGCCACAGTATCAAGGTCCCACCCATACAGCCGGCTGACTCAGTGGCGAGCAGGGCTCAGCTGTCAATCATGATGTGAAACCCCCCTTTTTATATTTTCGAATATCAAATTAAACCAAACTGGTGATAAAAATGAACAAACATCAGCGTGATAAAAATCACCTAAAAGGTCTTTACTGCAGTCAGCCACCAGGGGGAGATAGAGAGGGTCTGGATTCATATTGTCCAACTTTATGTATGTCAATTGTCATGACGAATAAAGGGAAAGACACCAGAAATGTACTCATTAAGATGTGTTGTGTGTTTTGTAAATACCTAATCAGTGATGGGAAATAACAATGTACATATTAGTCACATAGTCACTTGAGTATTTTTTTTCAGGGCTTTTTTTTACACAACTATCTGTACTTTCTACTCCTTACATTTTCAAAACAGGCTTGTTACTGTGATTTTAATGCATTTGAGAGTAATTATTGATTATTATTATCATTATTTCATTATTGCACACCTTCAAAACATCAAGACTGGTACATATCATGCATGTGACAAGTCGAAACAGACCAGAGAGGGAGTGTCTGTTTGAGGTTTCAGTTAGTTTTGCACAGAAACAGCCAATAGAATTGTCCTTCAGAGAAACCAAGAGAGTACTTTCACTTTTATATATTTCAGATCCTGTACTTTTACACTTTACTCGAGTAAAGAATCAGTAATTCTACTTTTACCAGGGTAGTATTTACACAAGTATCTGTACTTTAGTAAAGCATGTGTGTACTTTTTTCTCTTCTGTACCTGATCATGCTCAAATAAAAGGAAAGTTGGAAGTTCATTCCATCAGGTAACTCTGTACAGAAAGGTTAGGGTTTGGGAGTGGGGAAAAGGTATTTTTCAACTTTTCCTCTTTGCATCTTCTTTGTCGGTGTGTTTCTGGTCTGGTTGTCACTACTCCTGGCGACCTGATGAAGCTGCGAGAGTTCAGAACCAGATTTTATTGTGGTTGTATTTGGCAGACAGACAGGCAAAGGAGAGAGACAGTTTCTCTCAGTGGTCATCAGTCTGAACGAAGGCTGAAAGATGCATTTAATAATTAATGTGGACGTTCTGTCAGCTGAAATCTACTAATTGGTCTGCATTGTTGAGTTTGTTCAGAGCGACGTGCCACATTCACAACTACAGAATAAACAGGATGGAGTTTTATTTCCTCTGAGGAGGAAAGAATAAACAGAAATCAGATGCAAGCTGAGAGAGAGTGAAACCAAAGCTGCTTTTAGTATTTGTGGTTCAGTGTGAGTTCAGGGAGGGACGAGTCTTTAATGCAGCCCAGAGATAAACCACTGCAGAATTACACACAAAGTGGAACAGCTGGATTAAACAGATTATAAACCAACACAGGACATAATTACAGAATAATAACTTTGTTCAAACCAAAGTTCCAAAAAGCTTCAATAAACAGATAAAGAGACAATCAAAGCCAGAAATAACATGAAAGCAAACAGCAGCGTCAGACAGAAAGCAGATTAATCTGAAAGGAAAACAAAAGACATTTAACAGAAGATACAAAGCTGATCATCTTCACACGTTTATGTCGTTTCTCCTCTTGGTAACCAAGATGGAAGATACACAAGATACAAAGCTGATAATCTTCACACGTTTATGTCGTTTCTCCTCTTGGAAACCAAGATGTTTTTTTAATTCATAACACAAGTTATCTTCTTTAACAAACGAAACCTCAGCCACGAACTTCCCAAATAAATTAAATGCCCGACCAGAGAGGAGAACACACCCTTGAGCAAGGCAACCTGACCCCAAGAAACTGCTTATGGGTGCTGCTAACATGGCGAACCCATCACTCCACCATCTCTCTCCCTGTTGCATGTCCACAAGTGCATGAAGTGTGTATTTCAGCCTGTGTGTGTGTAAGAATAAAAAAAGAATGAAAAGAAGAATTTCCCCAATAGGGGATTAATAAAGTATATATCTTATCTCATCTTATATCTGATCCACCTGATTCCTTCATACAGGCGGAAATTAAAGCTCTGTAAGCCTGTTTTGAGGACATCAAAACAGTGGACCAGTGAAGCTGCGGAGGATCTTTAGCCGTGTTTGGACTAGGATGTTTTCAGGACTGCTACCAACAGTCTGGATGAGTACACAGAGGCTGTGACGTCATATATCAGCTTCTGTGAGGACTGCTATATACCATCATGCACCAGGGTGAGATATAACAATGACAAACCTGGTTCACAGCCAAACTCAGACAGTTACGGTTGCAGAGCGTTAAGGAGTGGGGACAGGGACAAGTTTAAGGAGTCAAAGTACAAGTTTAGCTAGGCAGTGAGAGAAGCTAAACGACAGTACTCTGAGAAACTTCAACACCAGTTCTCAGCCAATGACTCTGGTTCTGTCTGGAAGGGGCCCAGACAGATAATTCAATTCAATTCAGTAACCAAGTACAAACCTAAAACCCCCCACTCCATCAAGACTTGCGCCTAGTAAACGAGCTGAATGAGTTCTACTGTCACTTCGACAGACAAAGGAGCAGTCCTGACACCATCCCCCACGACATCCCTCACCAGCCCCACCTCACCAGTCTCCCCCCCAGCTCAGCAGGAGCCGGGGCCACTTCACAACTCCAAACCTCTGTGAATCCTCCCTCCTCCACCACAGAGACGACTCTCTGCCTCCAGGAGAGGGATGTCAACAGGCTCTTTAAGAGGCAGAACCCCCGCAAAGCAGCTGGACCAGACTGTGTCTCTCCATCTGCCCTGAAGCACTGTGCTGACCAGCTGTCTCCGGTGTTCACTGACATCTTCAACACCTCACTGGAGACATGTCATGTGCCAGCCTGCTTCAAAGCCTATCTGACAGGAAACAGCAGGTGAAGCTTCGGAAAAATGTTTCTGTCTCTCAGACCATCAGCACCGGATCCCCCCAAGGCTTCGTTCTTTCTCCTCTGCTCTTCTCCCTGTACACCAACAGCTGCACCTCCAGTCACCAGTCTGTCAGGCTCCTGAAGTTTGCAGATGACACCTCCCTCATTGGGCTCATCTCTGGTGGAGATCTTCTGTGCTGTGGTGTGCTGGGGAGGAGGCATCGGGACTTATGGTGCCAGCTCGGTGGTGGGGATGGAGCTGGACTGTGTGGAAGCTGAGACTGAGAAGAGGATGAGAGGGAAGCTGAAAGCCGTCATAGACAACCCCTGTCATCCTCTCTACACTGAGCTGAGGCAGCTCAGGAGCTTTCAGCCACAGAATGATCCAGCCCAGAGCCTTAAAGCGATTTAGAGGCTCGTTTGTAACATTGTTAACCATCAGACTCCACAACCACAGCACCCAGTACCTCCACCCCCAAAACCACAGCACCCAGTACCTACAACCTCCACAACCACAGCACCCAGCACCTCCACAACCGCAGCACCCAGTACCTCCAACCCCCGCTGACTAAGACTGGTTAAACTTCAACCTACGATGCACAAACTTTTTGCACAACTATTTATATTTAAGTTGCACATGTACAGTTCAAACACAGCATTTTTACTTGCATATTGCATATCATGTATATACTTTTCATTTATAGTCTTATATTTTCTATTATATTTTATAATATTCTTATTGCACCTCAACTTCTGTACTCTTTGCACTTCTGTACTCTTTGCACTTCATTCCCCTCTGCTGCTGTGTCTATTTTTTTTTTCCTACAGGGGATCAATAAAGATACATCTTATCCTGTCAAGTATTAGGAAGGAAGAAAATGGTATCGGAACATAATTTATTTTATAAGCAGTCGGATAAAAAAATATTGATGATAAGAAAAATGCTGAATATCAGATCTGATCCCTACTGCGACCGTGGTTGATCTAAAAGAAAAGTATTGCTTGTTTGGAAGCTGCGTTCAAGAGAGAACAACAATAATTTACAATAATGTGTCTCTCTCTGTCTCTACAGATGTTCATCCAGACAGCCACTCTTACCGTCTCCATGTCTCTTAGTGCATTCGTCTCTCTCGGGATGCTCTACATGCCCAAAGTTTATGTCATCATTTTCCACCCAGAACAGAACGTCCAGAAGAGGAAGAGGAGCTTCAAGGTCTGAGGAACTCCACTGAGTCTCCTGATTGTTAGTGATTGATTGATAGTTGCTGTGTTGTCTGATAGTTGCTGTGGTGTTTGATAGTTGCTGTGATGTCTGATTGTTAGTGATTGATTGATAGTTGCTGTGTTGTCTGATTGTTGCTGTGTTGTTTGAAAGTTACTGTGTTGTTTGATAGTTGCTGTGTTGTCTGATGGTTGCTGTGTTGTCCTATTGTTGCTGTGTTGTTTGATAGTTGCTGTGTTGTCTCATGGTTACTGTGTTGTTTGATAGTTGCTGTGTTGTCTGATTGTTGCTGTGTTGTTTGATGGTCGCTGTGTTGTCTGGTGGTCGCTGTGTTGTCTTATTGTTGCTGTGTTGTATGATGGTTGCTGTGTTGTTTGATGGTTGCTGTGTTGTCTGATGGTTGCTGTGTTGTCTGATGATTGCTGTGTTGTTGGATTGTTGCTGTGTTGTCTGATGGTTGCTGTGTTGTCTGATGATTGCTGTCTTTCTGTGTTGCAGGCTGTTGCCCAGGCTGTGTCTCAGAAATCATTAAATGAGAAACAGAACGGAGAAACAAAGATTGAACCTGACAGATCGCAGTAACACAGTAACGCAGTAATACTACAATTTAAAGGTAATGAACCTATAGTATACACTGACATGCACAGTTCAACAAGTAAAACTGCAGTAATATCCACTTAATCAGTTTATTAAGTTCATCTTATGGATGGTAAATGGACCTGTACTTGTATAACGCCTTACTAGTCTTCCGACCACTCAAAGCAGTTTTACACTACGTGCCACATTTGCCCTTTCACACACATTCACTCAGTGATGGCACATTCACTCAGTGATGGCAAACTCCATTCATACACATTCGGACACATTCAGGGGTTCAGTATCTTACTCAAAGATACTTCAACACGTGGTGGGAGGAGCCGGGGCTCGAACCAACAGCCTTCCGATTAGTGTATGAACCGCTCTGCCTCTGAGCCTGTTAGACTGTCTGACTGCCCATCCTCCTCTTTGTGACTGAAATATTTTCCAAACCCTCTGGATGAACTGTAATAACTCATCTTGTCCTTTAGTGGTGTCATCAGGCCACACATTTTAATCTGTCCAATAGAAAGATGCGCTAAAGAAAGATACACTAATGAAACATACGCTAAAGATAGATACGCTAATGAAATATACACCAAAGAAAGATACGCTAAACAAAGATTCGCTAAGATACACTAATGAAAGATATGCTAAAGAAAGATATGTTAAACAACTCAGCAGTCACAGTTACCGTTTTCAATTTAGTGTGATGGCTGACACACAGGGGCAGAGTGTGTGCCCTTACATAGTCGCTGGGCGGAGCTAACAGGAGCAGGATGGAGATGATTCCTGACATCTGGAAGCTGCTGCAGATGTTTGTGGAGGAGCTGCTAAATATTTTAACTGCTTGTTGAAGTTTGATGTGGATGTGCAGCTGCTGTGTGCTCAGGAGCAAGGCAGCTGCAGGGGGACGGTTTGATTCCCTGAGGAATAACAGAACCTGAGAGGAGCTCACTGTTCATATTTCTTCCTCTTCTGTCCTCAGGTAACTGCCAACCATCCTGAAGATGACCCCTGTATGATGAGTCATGATGTCAGTTCCTATTGACTGCTGAAGAAGTGACAGCAATGAACTACCAAAATAAGATGGCTTTCTTTGAATAAGCCTTTGAGTTTTTGTTCCTCACAGCTAATACCTGTCTGTCTCCAGTCTGTCTCCTGTCTGTCTCCTATCTGTCTCCTCTCTGTCTCCAATCTGTCTCCAGTCTGTCTCCTGTCGGTCTCTAATCTGTCTTCTGTCTGTCTCCAATCTGTCTTCTGTCTGTCTCCAGTCAGTCTCCAGTCAGTCATCAGACCCCGTCCAACTTCAGACGTCAAAGAGGAAATGGTTTTCAAGTAAAATGTTTTAGGACTATAAATTATATTAATATATTCTGTAGAGACAATTGGCAATTGGCAAAAGAGACAATAATATTTTTATTATTTTTATTATTATCATTATTATACTTTCTTCCACAGAGAGGCAGAATGATCTTTATAAGCTTCTGTATGTAACTGTCATTAAACTGTAATTAATAGCGCTACCAGTGGACTTTTAGTAAACTATAGTCACCGTCCGGTTGCTCGCCCTCCATACACAGTCCATTGGTGCGAGCGAGCATCATTCTTACAAATCACCCCATCAGCTAACACCACGAAGCAACCAATGGCAGCTAAACAAGCTAACGTTATCCAGCTAAAAGCACAGTCAGACAATATGTTCCACAAGCTTTGCAGTAATGTTAGCTTTGACTTTGGACTTTGTGTTGGACTCTGTGTTGTCGTGTGTGTGGGTCGTTTGTAGATGTTAGCGGACTCCATTTATAAGCTAATGTTAGCTAGTGATGCACACAGTTGACACTGTAGGGAAGTGGAGAGAGAAGGCACTCGGGGACATTAAGGTCACATCCTTTGACTCCCATCTCTACATAGAAACACATAGATATCAGTCCACAGGCAGCAGAGGAACAAAGCCACGCTACAACCCATTAACATACATTAACATCTTATTCCAACGATGAATCCTCCATAAACACTAAAGTTAGTCATGGAGTTCCACAAGGTTCTGTATTTGGACCAATTCTATTCACTTCATATACGCTTCCTTTGTCAATATTATTAGGAATCACTCCATTATCACTGTTATGCAGATGATACCCAGTTATACCTGTCGATCAAGGCCGATGAAATTAATCAGTTATCTAAGTAAAAAACATGTCTTAACGACATAAAAACTTGGATGAGCTGCAATTTTCTGATGTTAAACTCAGAAAAAAAACTAAATTGGCCCCAAACACCTCAGAGACTCACTGTCTAAAGATATAGTTACTCTAGATGGTATTACCTTAACCTCTAGCACCACTGTCAGGAATCTTGGAGTTATCTTTGATCAGGACATATCCTTTAATTCCCACATAAAGCAAATCTCTAGGACTGCCTTCTTTCATTTACGTAATATTACAAAAATTAGACACATCCTATCACAGACAGATGCAGAAAAACTAATCCATGCATTTGTTACTTCAAGGCTGGATTACTGCAATTCCTTATTATCAGGCTGCCCCAATAAGTCCATTAAGACACTTCAGTTAATTCAGAACGCTGCAGCACAAGTACTGACAGGAACTAGAAAAAGAGATCATATCTCTCTTGTATTAGCCTTTCTGCATTGGCTCCCTGTAAAAATTAGAATAGAATTTAAACACTACAACCCGTTCACTCTCTGCTCACACACACTGATTCACACGCACTGATTCACACGCACTGATTCACACACACTGACACACACACACTGATTCACACACACTGACTCACACACACTGATTCACATACACTGACACACACACACTGATTCACACACAGACACTGACTAAAGGCCAGGACACACCAAACCGACGGCCGACCGTCGGCAGAAAAGCAGTCGGACTGATCAGTCGGCTCCCGTCTCCCCGAGTGGGTCAAAAAAGTGCCTCCGAACACACCAAACCGACGCCGACTGGAGCGTACGTTCTGCGTGTGCGCGAGGCGTAATATGTCCCCATAACAGCAGGCAGCGCTAATCTGTGTTGTCGCCCAAAAAAATTAAAACCGGAAATGACGGATAACTCTAGACCTATTAAACACAGAGCACGCTGTCGTCAGTCATTGTTTTCATCAGAGAGTGTTGATAGTAGTCAAGAAGGATCGTTATTGTCATTACTCGCTGAACGGAAAATACGATGGCTAACAATAACAAGATACTGGCGTTGGCGTAGTATGTTTACCATCGTCACTTCCGGTTTTCTCGTGATTCGCTAGTCAAGGGCTAGCACTCCACCAATCAGATTGGTCATTGAGGCCAATGGCTACTGGCTGATTCTACATGTCGAATCGGCCAAAATGAACACTGACGCTGACTGACGACGGGACGGGACACACCGAACCGACTCGAGTCACCGACCTCGCCCGACTGCCAATAATCGGGTTGGTGTGTCAATATTTATAATGATTGATCATATATAGACTCATTGATTGAGGTGTTGAAAATTTCTACTTTCACACTTTTCAATCATCTTGTGACCTCTCAGATCTATTGTGGGACCATTTGAGGGGTCGTGGACCTTGGGAACCAGAGTATGGATCAGAATTTTTTACTCAATAATAATGATGATCTTCAGGGTGTGTATGGGTGGTTTTAAAGGGTTAATTAGCTGATTGCAATACATGTTTATATATTTAATGACTTCAATATGTTTTAAAGTTTTTTCTAAACAGTCAAAATTAAGAGATTTTATAATAAATTATGAAGATTGATTTTGTATAATAAGTTAAAAGTTGAGGATGACAAAATGTAATAAATAAAAGATAATATTGTTTTCTGCCATTTAAGAACCCATAATGCCCTTTGGTTAATTTTTCCATTTGCATATTATAACCAACAACTAATCCATTGATTAATGGAATGATCGGGTGATGCTGCAGATGTGATTTAATGAATAAATATATAATTTATGGAAGTTGTTTTTTGTCTTTAAGGTTTTTCTTTTGTCAATCACAGACTTGTTCAGGTGTCCCCATTCATTCATCCACATATTGTATATATGTACTTTATATATTTGTGTATTCTTTATGTATTTATACTGTGCGTCGCTGTTTCTGCACTGACAATAAAAAGTAGTTGTTTCTGTTAAATTAATTTTACGTTTCTCTCAAACTCTCTTCAGACAGACATCATGGAACATACATACAACATACATTAACATATATTAACATACATTAACATCTCATTCATCAGCTTATTTGAGGTCAGTCAGAATTTAGAGTTATCACAGCACAGAGTCAGCGCTGGTTAAAGTTAATAACAACCTTTTAATTGCTTCCGACAATGGACTTGTCTCTGTACTTGTATTATTAGATCTTAGTGCTGCATTTGACACCATTGACCATAATATTCTTTTACAGAGACTTGACCATCTAATTGGCATTAAAGGAACCGCACTAAGCTGGTTTACGTCATACTTAGCAGATCATTCTCAGTTTGTACACTTTAATGATGAATCTTCCATAAATACTACAGTTAGTCATGGAGTTCCACAAGGTTCTGTAATTGGACCAATTCTTTTCACTTTATATATGCTTCCCTTAGGCAACATTATTAGGTCTGCTGACGTGCAACGGTAAGCATACTGAGTCATTTCTGGTTTACTTCCTGCTCCTGTGTACAGTGTTTGCTGCTGTAGCTCTGTCTAGTGAACGCTAAAAACAAACTAGTTTTACTCGTTACAGCGGTTATTTACCTGTTTAACATTTAAACGTAGACTAGTTCTACCTAAGCACTTGGAGCCAATTCCTTCTTTTAGCGACTTTTTGCTATAAAATTACAAACTCACTCTAGCTTCAACACTCAACGATGGCTTATCCCTCTTCCTCTGCTGCTCTGCCTTGCTCAGTATGTCAGATGTTTATGCAACCCTTTTTGGTGGAGCTACAAAATATATGAAGCTGTAGTGAACAAATGTGATATTTATCTATGGCTAGTGAGATCAGAAGCTCTAGATACGACTACAGAGCCAAGGATGAACCAAACAACACACCAGGAACAACTCAGACACAGTATCTCTCCTTTGAGAAAGAACTACTCTTCCCATTTAATAAAAAAAACAGGGAAGGATGAATAGAAAACACAGTTATACTGTATACGGTGCAATTCTTACCCGGGTAAGTATATAAAGAAATTAATAATAATAATTCACAGCTGTATCAATAGTCTTTGGATTCAATGTTCAATTTAACCCCTTCAACTCAATCACTTAGTCCTTGCAGCAGATAATACTGCTCAGTCCACTGGAAAAGTGGTAACTGTTTGTCCTACCGCACTGTTGAATGCATTGACGGTGTGTGTAGAAGCAAAGTTTCTGGGGTTCAGGGTTCCAATCATCTGCATGCAATTGAGTCTCTAATTCTTTTTCATTGGGCCGTAGCTTGCCATCAAACATCCAGGCTCCAACTCCAGGTAGGTCGGGAACTCTCGGGATCCACAAAAAACCTGACCTATTGTGAATAAGGTCAGAACATTCAAGCTCCTAATCAGTAAACCACATAAAAGCTGGAATACAACTTCTAATTTCCCTGATTATTCTCTAAATTACCAGAGAATAACTCATGAAACATTGCAAAAGGGTTTCACAATTATTAAAGATCAACATATGTAGTAATAAAATCAAAATATGAGAGAATTATGGTTACTGAAATAACCTTTCACTCAAATTAATTATAAACCAAATATTTCCTCTTTCACATATTCACATTGACCTTCACATATCTCAATTGGCATAAAATATTAATATAATAATAAGTGGGAAACACATGCTGTGTGCACCCTCTGCCCTGCAACAGCAGCCTACAGTAGAATCTACAAAATAATTTAAGTGCAGCTTAATGCACTTTAAGTGCACAGTAAGGGTAGTTAAACAACAACAAAATTATCTAGCGTGCACAATTAGCAAAGTGCAGATTTGTGTGCTTAAAAAGCACAAATTAAAGTCCTTAAATCTACACAAATAACCATACAGCATACAACAGTTATGCAAGGGTTAAATACATACACAAAACACATATTACACTGGACCAATTCAGATTTCACTTTCAAATTAACAAAGCTAACATCTTTAGCATAAGTGAATGGCATTATAGCGCATTAGCGGCTAGCGATTAGCATGGTCAAAACATCTCTCACCAATGCATTTTTCCTCCTCTAGTGAGGACAGGTCCTTCTCGCCGTTCTCTCACAGGATTGCGGTGAAGTTATCCAGCCGGTTTTTATCAATTGTAATCAACTTTTATAGTTTTTCTGTCTTTGTTTCATGTGCTGTGTGTCTCAATGGTTGCTCTCACTCCTCGCTGCTCAAGAGAAGGAAAACCCACGTGCGTAGGTCAACTAGGCGGGAGCTGGGTCCGTGTATGTTTTGGTCATTGGATTTTCCTTTCAGTAACGGGTATTAAAAAACAGAAAACGAGTGGTTATTTGATTTTCGTTTTAAAATACAGAAATTAAAATTGAAATACAAGGCGTTTTTCTTTTTCATGGTCAGAAAGGGATGAGCGAAATTAAAAAAATTATTCGATTTTCATTTTCTATTTCATATAACAAAAAATAAAATCACTAGAAAACAGAAACGGAAAAAAGGCCTGTTTGTTCATATTCTGAGACCGGATGTTGTCATTAACAGGACGGTGCTGTGGAGAAGAAACAGTAGGCTAGTAGACTGCGGTCAATCCAGCCGTGAGTCCGATCTCCGTGGTCAAATCAGCCGCACTTAAATTTAGAGTGTACAAGTATTGTCAGCATTATGGTAAATGCTGAGAAACAGCGTATTTACTTCCGGTTTTCAAAATAAAGGTATTTAGAACAGTAAGCTATAATTAAAATATGTTACATTAAAGTGTTTAATGCGCCCCTGATGAATAAAAAAAACACTTTATATCAAGTATCTTTACTGCACCAGTGTGGAGAAATGCCAAAATAAAAGTCTCATATTTATGCCTCCAGAGATTGCATATTTGACCATATTTGAGGTACTGTAAAAACATATTGCTCAGTGTTTCCTGGCTACTGACTTTTACACATATGAGACTACAAACATACTTAATATCAAGCATTTTTACTGTACCAATCTGGAGAAATTGAAGAATAAAAGTCCCATATTTATACTTCCAGATTCCATATTTTCTTATATTTTTGAGCTACTGTAAAAACATATTGCTCAATATTTGAAGCATTTTCATTATACTTCAATAATGATGCAGTAATCGTGACAAAATTTCACACAAATGTTTAAAAACATCTTGATAATATAAACATTAAACACTAAACACAAAATCCTACACAATTCTAATTTGTTTACTTTTCACACAAAATGCAATGCCAGTCCACATTCTTCTTATTTTGCAGCTCTGCTGTGTCCATTTGTAGGTAAAAGGGAAAAATAATTAGTTTTAACTTCAAAACACCATTGTACCTACTGTCTCTTCCTCACATATTATTTTTTATATTATTCAGTGGGACAGCTGTTGCAGGTGGTTCCACATACAGTTTACATTTTTACAGTAGCTCAAATATAAGAAAATATGGAATCTGGAAGTATAAATATGGGACTTTTATTCTTCAATTTCTCCACATTGGTACAGTAAAAATGCTTGATATTAAGTATACTTGTAGTCTTAGATGTGTAGACGTCAAATATATCATCCATAGCCAGGAATTATTGAGCAAAGTGTTTTTACAGTAGCTCAAATATGGTCAAATATGCAATCTCTGGAGGCATAAATATGAGACTTTTATTTTGGCATCTCTCCACACTGGTGCAGTAAAGATACTTGATATAAAGTGTTTTTTTATTCATCAGGGGCGCATGAAACACTTTAATGTAACATATTTTAATTATAGCTTACTGTTCTAAATACCTATATTTTGAAAACTGGAAGTAAATACGCTGTTTCTCCGCATTTACCATAATGCTGACAATACTTGTACACTCTAAATTTAAGTGCGGCTGATTTGACCACGGAGATCGGACTCACGGCTGGATTGACCGCAGTCTACTAGTCTACTGTTTCTTCTCCACAGCACCGTCCTGTTAATGACAACATCCAGTCTCAGAATATGAAACAACAGGCCTTTTTTCTGTTTCTGTTTTCTAGTGATTTTATTTTTTGTTATATGAAATAGAAAATGAAAATCGAATAATTTTTTTAATTTCGCTCATCCCTTTTTGACCATGAAAAAGAAAAACGCCTTGTATTTCAATTTAAATTTTTGTATTTTAAAACGAAAATCAAATAACCACTCGTTTTCTGTTTTTTAATACCCGTTTCTGAAAGGAAAATCCAATGACCAAAACATACACGGACCGAGCTGACACCTGATTGTTCGGCCGAGCCGGCATCTCGACATGCAAAAGGCTAATGAAATAAACAGGAAGTAGACGCTGGCAGAAGAAACAACCCTTTCAAAATAACAGCACAGAGCATTTCAAAATAACAGCACGGATTATTTAACCTTGGTTACACCCTCCCCCCCTGAAGTTAAGCACGTCCCTGTGCATGGGAGCGGCTGTGTAGTAACAGGTCTGAAGGATGGGCTCAGATGAGTTTGAGTTTTCGGCTTCCAGCAAAACATCTGTAAAAGCCGAGCTCAGGCCTTGAAACAGAGACTGAACGATGGATACCAGTGGGCTCCCAAGATATGAATACTGCAGTTGTTCTCTATTTCTCGTTGAAGATCGGACAGTGCTGCCTTGCCCGTCCATTACAGCATCTTCACCTGGCACTGCATCATTGGTTACTGCTGAAATATTCTCAATCTCTCTTTCCCCTTTTTCTGCAGGAACATCCTTTTCAGGAGTTTTTAAGGTTTCATCAGCAGTAGGGTCATTTTCAGCAGGCTCAGGGACAATGGTAAGTAAACACTTGTTGGTTCTTTGGTCTTTGTTACTTTTTCAGGTACTTTGTTAGTAGTAGCAGTGAACACTCAAGGTCAGCGGCGGCTGGCAGAGTGACAGGTAGGTCTCCCACTTCAGCGCTGCATGAATCATCAGATAGGTTAGCAGGTAAGTCCTCTTCACCCACTGGAGCATCGACAGATAGGTGCTCTTCACCCACTGGAGCATTAACAGGTAGGTGTTCTTTGGGTA